CCTCGATGCCTTTGCCATGGTAGCTGCTGCTTTCTGCCATGATATTGACCACAGAGGAACCAACAATCTCTACCAGACCAAGCAAGTCAAAGATTTCATCTTGTTAATGTGTATAAGCATTTAACTGCATGACATGTAAACACCAATTTTTAATGCTTTTAATTTTCCCCACGAATACAGGAGTGCACATCCACTCGCAAAACTTCACGGCACTTCTATTATGGAGAGGCACCATTTGGAGTACAGCAAGACATTGATGGCAGAGGAGGTACAGTATAGTAGAGTATAGCAGAGTATTGGTCAAAGAACTCAATCACAGTATTACTTTAGTTCCCATTATACTTTGTTCAGCCTTCTGGGCAACAGGACATGTGAACAGCGTGGGATCAAAGCACAGACGCTGGAGGGAAAGGGATTTGACCATTAATTCTGTGTTGCTGAAGGTCTCAGATCCGGGGAAACGTGCTTTATAGCACCTTGAAAACAGCAAAAGCTCATCAATTATTTTCCTTTCTGGAACAAGCAGGGGGCAATTGCAACCAAGCGGGGTGAAAATTGATCAGAGTGAGGTTTGAGTCTACAGCCCTATGAGTAATGAGTGGAAATTCTTACATGCACTGGTGGATAAACCTCAGTTTTCAGCAGTGATTAGATTCCTGGACATCTGACGGACTCCAATCAGATTTTCAGCCTTTTTGTAAGGAGCCCTTAACGCAGATGGAAAAAAGAAAAAGAGCAGGGCTGAAGGTAAAAAGGTAATCTGTCTGTAGGTCGCCATGAAGACAGAAGATCGGCCCGGTTTTTGCGCATCATTGCTTTTACGGTGTTTTCGTGACCGGACATGGTTTTGGAGATTAAATTTGGGAGGCGTTTATTGCTACATGAACCTTTTTGCCAGTTTTTCATGTACTGTGAATGTATTACACCACTCCAAGACACCAGGTTGTGTTATGTGAATTGCACTGCAATCCAATAATCCTGAAAAACCAAGCCTTACGTATTTTCATGCGTCTTGTTTTTTTTTTGTTTTTTTTTTTCTCGACTTCAGAGCCTGAATATCTTCTGCAACCTTCAGAAGCGTCAGTTTGAGACCGTACAGCACTTGTTTGACGTCTGCATCATCGCCACTGATCTGGCTCTGTACTTCAAGTAGGTTGTGTAAAAATCTGACAGCTGTCATGCTTCATCTACAGCCAGCGCTATAATGAATCATTCCATCTGGAAGACCGTAGCTGTTTATTTTTTTTTTTATGTAATCACTTTTTTTTCTGTAATTTTTGTCTCCTTCATTGACTCATTTGTCCTGCTCTTATCTGTCTGCAGAAAGAGAACCATGTTCCAAAACATTGTGAACGCAACAGAGCCAATGACAGACGAAAAGGAGGCCACCGCCTACGTCTCCAACAATCCAGTCAGGAAAGAAATCGTCATGTATGTACTGGTAATCACTTAGAACAGCTGGTGCTTTCAGAATAGCAGCATATTTCGACGTGCTGCTGCCTTGTCCTCCCTCACTGTCTGCATATCATACACTTCCAGGGCCATGATGATGACAGGCTGTGATTTGTCAGCCATCACTAAACCCTGGGAGGTGCAGAGCAAGGTGGGTAAACAGGCTTTACTTTTGATTTGATACATTTTCCCCCTAGCTTGGCGAACAAGGCCATTTACAAAATGGCCATTTATAAATATATACAGTATATTCATAGCAAAAAAAATCAAAATATAGACCATATATATCAATATATACTGTGCCATAGCACAGAGTTGAGTAATATAATTATTTATTCTTCTTCTTTTTTTGTTTTGTTCCTGTTCCCAGGTGGCTTTGATGGTTGCTGCTGAATTCTGGGAACAGGGAGATTTGGAAAGAAATGTTTTGGACCAACAGCCGATTGTAAGAGTTTTTTGTACCACATACTTCCTACACTGTGACAAGACTTTTTACTCTCATTATATTCATCGGGAAAATTTTCTCTGGCTTTTTGTAGCCTATGATGGACAGAAACTGTGCGGAACAGCTACCCAAGATGCAGTGCGGTTTCATCGACTTTGTCTGCTCATTTGTATACAAGGTAACGACAACTGCTTTTGAAAGGCTGTTTATTCTTCACGGAGATAAAGCTAGGTGACTGGAAGATTGCTTTTGTTGAATAAAAGACACAGATTTATCAATTCTTCTTCTTCAGGGCTACAGCGGTCAGTAATAAGCTGCTAGACACACCACACCTGTGGTCGCACCAGAGCAAATTGACTCACGATACGGCTCCATGTAATCAATATTCTAAAAGTAGCCAAACTGATTTATAAGGTTTCCTTCCAGGTATTTCTTTATAGTGTGACTTTCAGTATGGGAGGCTTTCATTAACCCCCTTGATTGAATGGATACACCGATGATGATGATTGCCAACCTTTATTTCAATGATGATAAATAATTAATATAAATATAATTATTCGTTCAACTTTTTTCATTCACAAAGTATCTAATGGTCCCATCGTTAAAATGTGCTTCAGATCCTTACACATGCAGCCTTAATGCATTCATCGATTAATTCACCTACACCAGTATCTTTAGCTTGTCTGAGGTTTGTCTCCTTGGCACATATCTGGCCACACTCCTTGACAAGTGTAAACTTGTGATCTTCCCTAATCCAAATCCTTACTAATCAAAGTCCCTTTCCTCACTTGACTTTGTCTGATCTTGATTTTCTTATGGCCAATAATGACAAGATTTGATTGGCTAGAGCAGTGGTTCCCATGATTCTTTTTTGACATTATTTGACTAATTTAGAGACGTTTTATTTTTTTTTTAAGAATTAGTTTTTGTTATGTGTCCTTTTATTTGAACTAAATTCATAATTATGAAAGTGAAAGAATACATTTGTTCAACATGGGTCGTGGGGTTTTTAATCATAATTGTAAAAAAAAAAAATTGTTGAAAAAAATGTATAGGTAATGTTTTTATTATTAATTACTAGTAGGGCTGTCGATGATAATGGTCGGCCGATATTATCTGCTTGATATCAGCATAATTATGTAATATCGGTAAGATCGTTATCATTTTTTCCTCTGATAAGGAAATTCCGATAACACAATGCAAGAAATCGCAGGTAGGGTCCTGAGACTTTTACCTCAGTTTTGGGGTCAAATGGCTGCATATATATCGGTATCGCTTGATATCGGAATTGGAAATTAAGTGTTTGGACAATATCGGCATATATATAAAAGTTAATATCGGACATTTCTAATTACTACAGTAGACATTTCAGGCAACCTCTTTTGAATTGCAGGTGACTCCAGGTGGGGTCATGACCCCAAGGTTAAATAACGTTAAGGTAGAGAGTCCGGCTGTATGCCTTTGTAGACACCATGTCTTCTTTGACAACTTACAAATGTAGTTTGTTATTCTTTAAGGTTATTTCACGTCACAGTGGTAGGGTTTTTGCCCGACACACAATCAGTCCCTGATTTGGATCCTAACCTAACTCTAAATCCTAACTGAGTATGGAGGGAATGAAAGGGAATGCCAAAAGACATTTGTTGTTATTAGCGTTTAATCATTTGTATTTAAATCACTGTATGCTAATTATGTGGGACAAATATCATCATAGTGTTTTGACTAGTGATTGCCAGCCCTATTATGTTGAGTGAAGCTAAAGAGTCTGTATGTTTTGTCTCTATACGAAGAGGGAATACCCTGGAGAAAAACACAGCGGCACAGATAGAGGAAGATACATCCAAACTGAGAAAACAGGTCAAAAACATTCCCGTTGTGCCTCATTAGAAGATTTATGAAGGTGTTGTTGTAGCTTTCACCGTCTCAGGTCGAGAGATGTTGAACCCGTTGAACCCGGCCGGCCCTAGCAGGCATGTCAGGGGGCGCAGGGGGCAAACATCGAAGCACACAAACGCCATTCACGCGTGACAAAAACCATGTGTCGGACACAGTTCTAATGGAGTTTATCTTCCACTGTGGATAACCTGCATTTCATTCTGTCAGGAGTTTTCCAGGTTCCACAAAGAGATCCAGCCCATGTTTGATGGTCTGAACAACAACAGGTCACACTGGAATGAGCTGGCGCAGGTGTACGATGCCAAGATGAAAGCTATTGAGGATGAGAAGAAAAAACTGGAAGACGGCGAAACCAAAAAAGGTTAGAACAAAACTAAGTTAATAGATAAATGAAAAGATTTGTTGCAGAACAATACTGTAACCATTTTCTTTCTTTTTGCCACAGATGCAGGAAAGTCTAAGACCTGCAGCATCTGCTAAGTCCCTCTACAATGTTTGGATCACTTGTGTAGTCTGTTGAGGACTGGTTTAGGCCCCACAGGCCTGTACTCATTTTTGTCGGATTTATTCCTAATCTAGCTGAGGTCAGTCTAAGTCAGGGTAGTTTTTCCCGGTTTAGGTGCTTTCTGCTCGGTCTGGTCTGTTTTGACTCAGTCTAGACTACTTTAGTTTTGTGTAGTCAGGTCCAGACTGGTCTGCATTGCAGGTTGACCAAGTCTGCTTTCAGCCAGAGTTAACAGTGCCAGAAATTGAGAGTTTGAGATGGGCATTAATATTTAAAATGCAACACACAACATACACACACAGATGTATTCATACAATACTCTGACTTATGTCAGAGTTCCGTTCCTATGGTGTGATGTAACTTGATTCCTACTGTAACATACTGTACATAAGTACCCATGTCACAGCTACGCTAATCATCATAATCTAGGACATAACATATATACATCAGAAGAGTCTGGGAGCCATAACACAAATGAAAACAAAGTGAATGTAGCACAATCCAACGTTAGGCGAACAACTGGCGAATGTAAAGAAAGCTGTCATCTGCGTTCAGCGTGAGGACGTTGGTTTGACTCAACAATATGTATCTGTTTCCTCGTCAAGGGACGACTGTTCAACGTGGTCTAGGAGCAATGACCTTTGCTTTTTATAATGTACCGCTACTTGGCAATGGTAAAGGCGTGTACGGCTAACAGAAGGGATCTGATTTCAAGGTCAAATGATTATTATTTACATTGAATTCACTGCTATTTAGCGCTCAGTAGGTTGAATATGTGTGCATGTTTCTTTGCCCCTTTATGGCAGTTTTGTGGGCAAACATTTGAATAGGTTGTCAGATTTAGTTTGAAAATGTTTATTTTATCTTTATAAATTCATAGGGGATTGCTTATATTTGGAAAAAGAAAAACACGGCTTAATATATTTTCGTTGAGGTACAAATAATTTATTTTAAGCATAGATCACTCCACATGTCAATAGCTGATGTAGTTGTTTTAAAAATGTACATTTTGTCATATCTGAAGGGAGCGTTTGAGTGTAAGATGTTTAGTTGCTGTTGCCATGAGAAGGAGACGCAGTGGAAGAGGAAACAGTAGAACTACCTCTGCTTTAAGACGATTTGATAGGATTTGATTTGACTGCCAGCCTCTGTAATCCACACAGCTTTAGGCTTTAAATACTCCTTACATTGAAGGTAAGGCAGCCTTCCAAACCCCCGCACCACAATAGCGTGCAGACGACTACTGCTTGAAGAGACAGAACCAGAGCATTTCTGTTCTTACAGTACGCCTGTTCTAGCTATGCTGCTTCTTCACGTGACGGTCGGATGAACGTCTGGTGTCGTGTCACCGTGAATCGCGGTTTAAACCTGACCTGAACCCTGGCCCTGTCCGGCATCTTTGACCTTTTTGCTACAATTTTAGCACCGGGCCACGCCCTGGCTCTACTTCCTGTTACACAATGTCCTGTGTTTCCTCTGATGGATAGTGCTTCAATCAAAGGCACCTAATCCTCTTACGGTGGCTTTGGGACTTTCAGGAAACCCTCTTTTGACCACTTGAGGTGAAGCAGGGAAGTCACTGGAGCTAAGACCACAGACACAGAACATCAAGGTCGCAAAAATGGGATTTTTAGAACAAAATGTCGTAAGTGGACAGTTACACCTTCAGTTCTGTCTGACGTCTGATGAAAAACGCCGTCCCGCTGGGAACAGCATTTGAAGAGCTGTATACTGTTCTATCAGCTTTCACAGCAGACAGTGTAGCTGTCATGTAGTCTGTGAAGTGGCCTCTGCTGTACCTATCACATCATGTCAAATGTAAGAGCAAATAAAAGACTGATAATAGTGGGGATCACAACGGTGACACTTAACATTTCATTCTTAAGGCACGTTGCTCGACAGTGACAGAATAACCCTTCCCTTCGGCCTACCTGTGGCTCTGCTCACTCTTATAGACGTATCATGCGGAGATCGCCGAGGTTACAAAGCTGGATGAGCCTCCAGGAAAAGAGGATCAGTGGATTGCCTCTGATCCTTGTCACGATACAGTGTCGTCTGGCCGCGTCCCACATCTTCCATCTACATCCTGCACGCAAGTGTTCAAAGGTCTTATGCCATTTATTTTATCTTATTATCAGTTACTGCAATTGTGATTGATAGAAAATCAAAAAAAGAAAAAACTTTTTTAATCTAAACTTTATCTTCTTCAAATATTTATGTTTTGTCCCAAATTTTAGTTTTGGGACAATGTCTAATAACACGAACAAATGCTATTCAATGCAAATATATATGCATTTTCTGAAATATTTAGAATGTTTTTTAAATCCTTTCAAACTCTTTTGAAATGCGTTCAAAAACTGGTCTAAAACTGAAAACCGACGAAGGAAAAGTCCTCTGTAATGAGCTAATAAATCAATTTTAAAATCACATACCAGAGACGTAGCCATTCTAAATGATGAGTGAATTCACAACAGTGGTACGGTGTAGTGTGTGTGTGTGTGTGTGTGTGCAGTGGTACGGTGCAGTGTGTGTGTGTACACTTAAATCGCCAAAAGCAGACTGTAGTCAATCATTTTCTCGGCCCCTGTGACCTAACATGCCCCCTCATAAACCAGACAAGGAGTCAACGGGTGCAGAGTCGGCCTCTGTCCCCTCCATGACCCTGGGAGGTGCTATAAATAAATTTCAGTCGTTTTAAGTCATGTTTCTACGATAATCTTAAGTTTTAAAAAAAATGAGTTGTGAGGAACTTTTACAGCTTGGTGAAACCACATCTCCTGCACCATTGTTTTTTGGCGATATTTTTATTTTTATATATTAATTAGGATAAGAGCTGGGGTCAAAGTTCAGGTGTGGCTTAAGAAAATATGTTAGCACGGTAACGCACAAGGAAAAACATTCAATGTGGTCAGTGTAAAAGGCCCACAAAACAATGTGTTTGTTAGGGAGAAACAAATGTGTGTATGGCTGAGTGCACCTCTGTGTATTTATATTAGAGCGTGGGTCGCTGTATAAAGTCAAGCTCCTGGGAGTATGTAGTTAAAATTATATAGAATTACACAATGCATCAGACAATGCACCCCCCACCCCCCGACAGACACACATACAGTACTGTATTTAACAGCAGCATAAGGCAGGAATGTTACTGTCATGACTTTATACTCAACCTGATGATGCACTATTTCTGTAGTACTGAGTTCCTCTGATTACCTAATATGAGTAGTTCCCAAACATTTCCCGTAGCGCTCCCCTTTTTGTAGCTAGAAATACTGCTAGAAATAGCGATTGTTAACAAAATAAAAATGTCCAAGAGCTACTCATGTTGTGTAACATTTATTTTCATGGCTAATTTAAAAAAAAAAAAATCAAACTCAAGCTTTCTTTTCCTCAACATTTACAATATGTTATATTATTATGTATTAGTATTACTATCTGCATTATTATTTATTATTATTGTTGTTGTTGTTTAGCAGCGTGGAAGTCCACAAAGAACATCCAGGGGTCCGTTTCTTGAGGCGTGCTAAATCAGAGTTAGTTAACTTTGACTTTCCAGTTCCACCAAGCTGGCTAGACCGAGACTTGGTTGCTATGGCTACATACTCCGTGGAGCAAACCTGGATTAAAATTTAAAACGGACAGGTGTGCACGCAGCGATATATATAGAGATATATATTGATATTATAGACACAGGTGGAACAGTTCTGTAATGAACGGGGATTACTAGCTTTCTCGTCAATACTCACGCATTCACTCCATATCTATATCTCTGTATCTGGAAATACTTTTATTTTCGAGCATGTAATCTTTGTTTAGCCACAATTGTCCTCGTTCTCTAGTTAACAAAGTCCTATTTCTTTTCGTATTTTCTCTTTCTCTTTTGCTGGTTTATAAGTCAGAGTGATGAGGACTGAGCCGTTAAGTAGCGTTTCTGTTGGCTGTAGTATAATTGTGATGGTACAAGATGGCCTCCATAAAACGATGCTGTTGGCTAAAGGCTTATTAGGGCTACAAAAGACAGACAACCCTTTAAAGTAATTACAAATGTACATCCAGTATATCTAATCTTAAACGTTTCACACAGGAGCGATAAACAGAACTGCAATGCCCGGCTGTGAATGTGCTGTTTTATAGCGATGGGCACGAAACACTGTTTGGTTTGGCTTAGTAGACGTGTTGACCTGCAGAATGAAAGTCCGAGTGAAAGGATTTCCATTCCGAGTTTGATATAAAGCACTATAAAGTCTCAGAAAGGTTCGATGTCTTGGGGACTTGCTGGTGTATCTGACAGGCGTGTGAGATTGGTGATCGATCCATATATGGTCCTCCTCGCTGCAGGAGCAGATGGCAGCTAGGATCTCTCCTTTGAACATGTAAGCAGCGAAAAGGCGCCTCGCAGTGACCTGTCGTCACACAGATGCGGATTGAGGGCGGTTCCCTCCGTTTTTGGGAGGGATCAATATTTGGACCTGTGATTTTAGCTTTGTGTCTGAAAACATCAGCTGGAACACCACAGGGCTCTGGTCTGCCTGTGGTTTGTAGATGAGAAGAAACACTTCGCCGGTTTAGAGAGAGAAGTCGGGGATTTCTAATGTGTTTATATGTGCTGCAGTGCTATAAGGTCGGCCGCTATGACACACTGTAGGTTTCACATTTGTGTTGAACAGTTTAATCCAAAGCAGTTATTATGATGGTTTGACAAATCTCTTACACAGACTTGAAGGCTACAAATTGGAACACTATTCCTAAGATTTTATTTTACTGTTTATTGTGCATGCAGTAACTATAGACAGTAGCTTTAAAATCACTAATTTGCTCTTCTTAGGGGTCGCAAACTGCTACTGTCGTTTCATCTTCGGTAATGACTTAGGGGACTGGGGTTCGAATCCCTGGGATTGCGCAAGCTAGTTACACTTTGTAACATGTTGAATTCTCTTCTGAATACCATAGACTAGTTTAATCTGCCAGTACAAGTACCTCACACATAACCGTCCATAGTTCAGGGGACAAGGTACAGGAAACTAGGGTTCGACTCTGCCACAGTGTCCTAAAGTCCTGTATATAGTTTAATCATATATATATATATATATATATATATGCATATACATATATACGTATATATGTATATATTTTTGTATATATGTATACATATGTATATATATTTGTATATGTATGTATATATGTACGTGTATATACGCATGTATATACAGTATATATATATAGAGAGAGGACTATATATAAGACTTTAGGACACTGGCAGGGTCGAACCCTGGTACAGTATACATATACAGTACATACTGTATACAAATAAAAATATGTAATGTGTAATATGTAGTTAAGGGCCAGATGAGGGAGATTAATGAACCAGAAGAGTTTGGGACCCCTGCATAAATGTTTTGCAAAGTTCTCTTTTCAAAACTCCAATATATTTATCATGCCTTGTAGAACAAGTAAATCACAGACAGTAATAGTAGTCGTACAATAAACGTTGTTTTTATTTTTGTAGCAGTCCTGAAACTGACAAATACAGCGGCTGGCACACATGACAAAGCGGAGCAGCGAGCAAATGTAAATGCAGTCACAGTAGGGATGTCAATGGAGCTGGTGGAGTCAGAGAAACATGTCTTCAAAGTATTCATCAAACTCCTCCTCCCTGGAAACAGAAAAAAAAAACCCAAAGTAACAGTAGTGTTAGTTCCTGTCGGGCACACTGCTGACAATGACTAGGTCTCACAGCGAGAGCGCTCTGTTGTTTTCATTTAGGCTACAGATAACATGAAACGAATGGATAGAAATAGAGAAATAAAACCAGACGTTTGACAGCGCTGGGACTGCTGGGAAATAACGGGGATTTTCACAGCACCAGCAGAAAATTCAAGTCTCTTCTATAAAGTTTGACTTTTGTGTATATTTTGAGTAAGTAATATGAGATGGAGATGACACACCACTCACCTGTTAGCTTAAGGAGGCTAAATTTGTGTCTAAATCAGAGTGTCAGTATCAGAAGTACTTCATTGATCCCCATGGGGGCAACAGTTGAAGTATGTAGTTTTATACAGTGGTTTAAGGGAGAAATGCAGTCAGGAGAAAAGAAGGTACTGGATTAATATCCGTATCGGCAGATACTCCAAGTTGCAGTACCAGTAATGGACATGAAAAAATTGTATTGAGTCATCCTTACACAATACATACTGTATGTATCAATATATGTATCTTGATCTGTTGTCAGTGGTTTTAAAAACTTAAAAGTGTTTCTTCCTTCAGGGGGCGCCAGAGTAACTGAAGGGAAGAATCAAAAGAGGAAGTAGAAAGGTGTGTGTTTGAGGCAACATGTAAACTAGCTAACTTACATGATGAGTCTGCGTGTGAGGCAACGTGTAAACTAGCTAACTTACATGATGAGTGGATGGATTTGTTACATGTACGTGACTTGAGAACCCAAATGATAGTACTAACAATGCCACATTTGTGTCTGTTTGTGTGGATGTAGGAGGCGTGCTGCTTGTTTGCTCTTGGAAGAATCATGTTAGCCACAGTGTTAGCCAGCCAGGTGAGTCCAGTTTCCTGTCATTATATCAAATGATGTCCGTAACTGAAAGGCTCAACCAACACCGCCTCTCACTGTGGCCTCCATGCGAGAACAGAAAGTGCGACATCCCCAGCTTTAGGGTTTAAGCGAGTGTCTGAGCCGTTCAGATCAGCTTTGAATATGTAGGTGGTCTCCATACTGCGCTGCGTACGGCTCGTCCATCTATATAGGCTAAGACTGTGATGGTTTTACAGCAGCTTACTGGGTATGACTTAATATGAACATCAGCTGTTGGCCTCACCTTGACTTTTCCTCAACGGCAGGGGCGGGACCTCGCCAGTGGGACGTTTCTGATTGGTCATCGGATTGATCCTCATCTTCGGAGTCTGGAAGGAGAAGGTACAGAATAAACGTAGTCCAATGAGCGGTCAAACGGACTAGAGCAGGGGCGTCAAATATGTGGCCCGCGGGCCATAACCGGTCCACTTGAGGAATTTTGGAAGTGAAAAAATGCACTTCATGTTTGTGATGTTCAGTAAATATGAATAGTTTCTAATATACTTGCGCTTATTTGCATGAAAACAAGGGGGGGAAACATGGGCTTATCATTTTTAAGTAATTATGTTATGATTGTACTGGTCCGACCCACTTGACATCTAATTAGGCTGTATGTGGCCCCTGAACCAAAATGAGTTTGACCCCGCTGACCCCCTTCACAACAGAGATGCACATTATTTAAGACAACAAATCTCTGCAACCCAAATTGCAAAAAAAAAAAAAAAATCTTATCTTCCCTCCAATTTTCTGAGGCCCCCTTGTGGCCTCCACCCTGAACCCTGACCCAGTTGTTTAAATTTGGTATTACCAAAAAACCAATCAATCTCATCAAAATCCCCATGTCATTATTTGCTAGGTAAATTAATCTCAAACTTGATGCGTGTTTTGGCAAGTACTTCTAAATGTCAAATGGCTGCAGGTGAACTTTTATTCCTAAGATCAACCAGATGCAAACTGAAGGCAATAGTGCACACACAGAATGCAATGTAGGTCAAAAACAAAAGGGGGTCGGAGGGGGCGGGGGTTAATTTAAGAGGAGCAATTCCAGCCACACCAAACGTCCATTCTTCATGGACGTAGCTCCTCCACGACCTCCAAAGTTTTTCTAAAAGCATCCCTCACAAACTCACCTTTTATAACCCCTTAGCCTTCAGCAGCGCTTTCAAAAATGTATGACTTGTGAAAAACAGAGGTAAAAATGTCAAAGTGATTTCGTGTGGACACCGCCGCGCGTTGAACTCACTGTCATAACCCGCGGACAAAGTGTGACCATGTGTTGTGTCTTTCCCTGCAGATCCACATACCCTTCTGTCATCCGTCATGTGCCCTCCCACCTGGACCCCCGAGACAAACACAGTGAGTAGAAGGCAACCGTTACCTTTGTCTGAGTTCTCCGAGCTGCTCGACGTGGAGTATTCTGTGGAGAGAGAGAGAGAAACAAACAAACATTCTGCCTTTAAACCGTTTGTGTGTTTCCCCACACTTTTATGTTGTTCTTTATTTCTGCTAATATATTTGCCACCTAGCCGTAACCAACCGGGTCTACAAGCTCAAGTCCCAACTGAGTCATTCCACACAGTGGTGGGATGACTCAAGTTGAAGTCGATGCCACTTTACAGTTGGTGCTTAGCATTTCCACCGTGTGATCGTTGATGGTTTTGGACCTTTTTTTCTTACGTCAGTTTGGGTGGTTTTTACCAGTACTCAACTGAAAACAAAGCGGGTACTCAAATACAAATCTTAAAGGTCTACACGAGTCAGCATAGGGGGTTAGAGGTGTTGATGCAACAATGGTTAAGCGCATAAGCGCCTGGAGGGGGCGCAGTGGAGTGCCACGGGGACAGGTGGAGAGGAGGGAGTGAAGGGTGAGGCTTCCAGTGAATTATGGCACTCATACAGTGGTTTGGACAGATACAAAAATACATATTATCAGATTTGGATTCTATCTTTGGTCCGACTGCTGGGATAGCATAGATAAACGATCCACATGTCCAGCGCGTGGTCTGCAAATAGGCGGCTTGCGGGTCAGATGTGGATCGCGGCCGCATGAAGGCCACTGATGCGCAATACGGAAGTGAGAAATGTTTTAACATATTGTATACCCTGCAACAGTTTATATTTTAAGTGGCATGTGGGGTCTGAAGTGGCTTGTGGTAGAATTCAGCCTGTCATGCAGAAAGTTCTAGGTTTGATTCCACTTTGTCCCGAATCCCAGGTTGGGTAGGGTCAGGAAGAGAACTCGGCCTCAAACCTCTGCCGCATTACTATGCTGTGTACCACGGTGGCGACACCTGATAAAGGCACTGGCTGAAAGTGATTCAACAGCGTGTTTCTCTAAAATTACGTTTGCAGCTCGGGACAATTTGATATTTGGAGAGCAGTCTTACCTCTCTTTTCTTTCCGTTTGTTCTTCTTTGTATGTGAAGATGATCTCTTCTTCTTCCTTCCTTTGTCCTTCCTCTTTCTCTTTTTTTCTGGTGAATCCCGGTTCTCCTCTGATAGCCTCTTATTTTTCTTCTTTGCTGTCACCTCTTTTCTCCTGCAAAAAGAGAAACAATGCAGCGTTATATCATTTACAGCATTAGCAGCCGCGCGTTACTATGACAGCTAGAGCTACTAAAACTGATGGCCACTTTTTAAATTTTAATAGAAATGAATGATATAAATGCTAGAATAAGAACAACTGTAAAGTTACAATAGTAATATATTCATAATTAGTTGTTGATATATATTCCTGATATATTAGAAACCCACACATATAAATACATTTATATACAGTATAGAAATATATATGTAATATGTATATATTCACACACAAATATATATAAACATATATACAGTATAGAAATATGTATGTAATATATGTATATATTCATACATACATATATGTACTATATATAAAAATGCACACACACACACACATATATATAATACATGTGTATTGTTAGGAGTTCTGAAAAGACAGATAACCTTAAATTTCTTCTTGTTACGTGAGTCTCAGGCAGATTCTCAGGGTAGTGACTTTCTAAAGCACAGACCACGCTGCCTCGTGTGTCTGTAAAATATGCCGTCAATACTCAAAAACCCTCCAGTAGTCCTTAAACATTTCAGAGAAAAAGGTTGACGTCTCTGATTATAGTAATCAACGATAATTATGGGATAAACTTGCGTCTAGATTCCTCTTTACAAAATTAAATCAATTTCCAGTGTAATCAGTGCCAGTGTTCAAATTAGATGCGTTTCTTACAATGTTATTTAATAATGTTTATTGGATGAAAATTGCCGATTCTTAATCACTAAAACAATTTGTGCGGTCACAGTGGTTGACCTTTGACCTCTTGAATTTGCCTATTATGTTTTATATATTTAAGTCACATATATGTTTAAATCAAAATTAAAGTCAAGGCTGTTACGGGGAATAGTCATACTGTCAACCTGAAAACAAAAAGTGGCCTCAACTTTAGTTACTACAAAGATCTAAAAAAAAAACCAAAAAACTCAGTGACACGAGACGTTACTTGTGGTCTGAATAGTAAATTCCCACGTGCTGCTCGATGTGTGCCGGCTGTCCGCGGAGACTTGTTCTACTTTCAGCAGGCAAATATATACCATCCAAGGTATTTAAATCACCACTGGTGGGCAGAAGGATCTACAGTTTCGCTGCAGTAATGCATCATGGGTAAAAGACAGTTTGGCTTACTTGTGATGGTAGTTGAGTTTGAAAGAGCACTCGGGACAGAGTCCTAGAAGAAAAAAAACAACACGGAATCATCACTATGGTTGAGGAGTCATTACATTTTTTAAAAATAAAACATCTTTTAGACATTATTCTGTTAGTATCAGAGTAGAGAATGACCTGTTGTTTTTAAACATTACCGGATTATCTTTAAATGAAAAAAGTAAGGGCTGGATGCGACACATTCAGCTTTTTAATCCGGCAATACCCACATTTCCCCAATAGATGGCGTAGAAAGTGATAAAAGCATTTTATTGCCTTTAATAAGGGGAAACAACAGCATACTTATGGATGAGAGCAGTCAGACTAGTGTTGTTGAAAAACTTGTCATTTTCTGCTAGACTGGCTTGACTAGGACTGGTGGGTCCTTTAATTATGCTAATAGTTCTAATAGGATTTTCCACACTATGACACCTGAAGGAGGATTAGCATGAGCTGGGTCTTAGAGAGGAAACCCCAGGAGGCCTAAGACATAAAAGCACATAAACACAAACACTGATTCCAGTTTGGGAGAAGGACTGATTATGCTGTGTGTGAGCAAAAATGTCAAGAAAATTAAACACGGAAATCGAATGGGGATCCATGTTATGTTACTAGGAAGATGCTTTCCAGGCTTTGGTGCCGACTTGGGCACGTATTGTATCTATATCAGGCATATATTTGAACCGCGTTTTAACCTTGCATCCTTTTGTCTCCGTAGTTTTATTGTTGCCGTGAATAACTTCTTGTGACGACTTACTTAGCTTGACCAGTGCATTCCTTTTCTCGCTGTGCTCCACATAGGCAAAATTCACCTCCCAGCTTCTGAGGCCTTCCTGCTTTTCACAGCGTTTGCTCCCACATTGGAATTGACCTGAAAACCACAGGGAACGTAAACCGATCAGACTTGACTGACAGTCTAAACACACGGTACAGAATGACAATCAATGTTTCATAATGCTGTGCCTAAAGAATGTGATGCTAAACATTCAGCCCGTGGGCCAAACTCGGCCCGTTTGGGGGTTCAATCCGGCCCGACTTGATGAATTTTGAAAGTAAAAAAATGGATAAACACTTCATGTTCGTGATATTTTTTAAAATTATATTACATTAAATAGGAATAAGTACAAGTTTAAACTTATGTGCATGAAAAGAAACGGGGAAAACATGCACTTATTGTTATCTATAGGTCCTTATGTTATGATTGTACTGGCCCACTTGACATCTAATCAGGCTGTATGTGGCCCCTGAACCATGGGTTTGACACTCCTAGTCTAAAGGATTACAAAGACAATTTAAAAAAAAACCTTTATATTTGTACGGACACACAGACTCAACATTTCTAAACACTTAATTCCGTCACGCAAACTCTGAGCCCCACTGCTCTCCTCGACCCCTCTTCTTATCCCACTGCTCCCTGTCATCCTCCTGTCTTCACGTGCCTCCTGTCCTCAGGCTTGCCTCAAGCCATGGCACAGCCTGACTATTATCCCCGTAGGAGCTTAAGGTGGAATTGAGCTGGTCGACAGGGTTCCTCCAGATTGTCAGGGAAAGAACACTGCGTCAGAGAACTTGATTCTTGGCAAAGGCACAAGAGAGAAGTCCTGCCTGCCCTCGCCTGAGCCAGATCGAGGGGTTGTTAATGTCACAGCGCTGTGACGCAGACACCACGCAAACCTTGAGCAGCTCGGGTCATAGGGCAGACTTTCTCTTCACGTGCTGTGTTGGATTAGGACTCTATGACGTCAGATAAAAGTGACGCCTGTCTTTGGCCACGTTTCCTTTCGCTTATTTAGCACCGAACTAGAAGTGTATTACTGAGCTGTATTTTTAAACATGTAAATATGTGTCTTATTTAAAGGAAACAATTCCCTAGATTTTAATTTCATATTTTCAAGTGCAGATACATTTCATGTATAGTTGCTTCACAGATGAATTATCATAAATTAACATCTCTAAATTTAGGCCAGTTATTTTCAGATTTGTTTCTTCATTTTATTTTATTTTTTTTAATTTTTAACAGGATTTTTAACACCGACAGACGCTTCGGTCCCACCGCACACACAACAGAACGGCCTAGATTTGTCTGTGCTGAAAAATAAGATTCTTTAATTACCAAAATGGAAAGAAGAAACATAATTTATGTAAATGTATTTACTGGTATCTCGATTGAAAAAATGAGGTTACATTTAAAATTCATTTAAAAAATGTAAATTTAACGGAAATTGTGTTGGGATACAGATATACAGCATCGAAAGTACACTGTCAGAACTGGATTAGGTTTTCATGGAGGTTTTGGGAAAAATTTCGCTTGCATTGATTACCTATTTTTAAAGTGTTTTAAACCTTATACTGAGATAAATTGTCTTTCGCTTGCATTGATGACCTATTTTTAAAGTGTTTTAAACCTTATGTATCAGAGAGTTTAAAAATCTAAACGTCATCATCTACAGCAGGGTTGTCAAACATACGGCCCGCGGGCCAAAACAGGTTCATTCCGGCCCACTTGGTGAATTATGAAAGGCGAAAAGCATGGACTTATTGTTATTTATAATGTATTATGTTATGATTGTACTGGTCCGGCCCACTTGACATCTAATTAGATTGTATGCGGCCCGTGAACCAAAACAAGTTGGACACCCCCGATCTACAGTATGCAAACCATAACAAAGTCTATAGGTTGGTCAGTCGGTCGGTAGGTAGGTCTGTATTTATCCCTCATACCAACTGGTTAACGCAACACAGTACAAGTGGCATTTGGTTGTCATTCAAAATAAAAAAAAAATCCCGTGGAAATGATTGCACCCAGCTTCTACCGTGACATTTTGATCTGTCATCAACTCACAAAAGAAAATACGAAATATAATCTCTTTTTTTTTTTTTTTTTTGCACGTACATATTTTTCTGTGATGAAAAGCTTTGCCTACATATAAATGAGGTGCCCTTCAGAAAGGAACTAAATCCTTTTGTTGCTGCAGGAACATAGTCAGTGTCAGATACAAAAGAACGCGATGCATGTGAAGGTAACAACACAGAGATTCTGGATGTATTCGGTCTTTCAGCTGCTCAGTACCGCGACACCATAACGGACTCCGCCTGTTCCTAGGCAACGTCAGGCTTCAAGTAAAAAGAAACACAGGGGTTATGTCTAACTGAAAGTAATCAAGGTCAGTAGACAATTCGTCGGAAAGTTTTGATCTTTCCCGCCCTGTGGCTACCAAACTTCACAACCTGAACGACAACAAGTACCGTTTTATCTAAGTGTGGTTTTTTACTTTGTTATTATATAGCCGCTCTCTGCTCTTCAAAATACCTTCACGTAATAGCTTTTCTGTGGCTCTCCGTCAATACTAGTAAGTATCTATAGGAAAATGAAAGAAAAAATATATATAAAAATAAGGTGGGCCATGTAGGACGATGATGCCAGGTTGGCCGAGTAAACGCGTTAAGGGGGGGGAACTCCTGTCCACCTGCGTTAATAGTTACAAATGTCACCAGGCCATAAGATCTAAATGGATGCACCACAGGACAGATGGCTGCGTGATTAACATTCACGGGATGAAGTCTGCGGACAGCGACCTGCCTCACTGGTGCTCTTTCACCTCTAATTCAGTTTAAGTCTTAAAAGTTCACGTTGGTCAGACTAATATATGGCAATGTCAAGGCAAAGTGCAAGTCAAATTTTGGCATTGGAAGGAATAAAATGATCATAGTTTCATATTTTATATGGTTAACTGATAAATATTTGCAGCTGAAATCTCTTTGTTTGTGTAAATATAAGAGATTTAAGTGACGGGGATACAACATGGAACCATGGAGACCAGTCCGATCCGAACAAAGGCTTGTTCTAGGTCAGAGGGTTCACTATTCTTTTAAATTTGCTTATTACAGCCAAAGATAAATAGTTTTTTGCATTTTTGTGAACTAGGGTCAGTGGACAGAGGGCTCAAACTCCTGGTCCGTGGGCCACTTTGGGCATGCGAACCACCCGCATGCAACCCACAATTAGATGTGGGTATAATGTAATCTCCTTAGGGATTAATAAAGTTCTTTTTTTCTTTCTTTCCATCCCTTCCTCCCTCCCTCCATCCATCCATCCATCTATCAATCATCCATCCATACGTGCCTCCCTCCCTCACTCCAGAAAATGTAACCCTCTCCCTGAAAACACGGTGCTCGATGTAACTATTTTTGGATTAAAAGACCTGGATGATTGAGAACCTACACAAACAGCGGATGAAACAGCGGCCCAACTGTGTGAAGCCGAAGCTTCCCAAAACACCACATGTTCGATCGTGAAGTCTCTCAAAAGTAGGCGGCAATCACAGCCACTAGGTTGAGAGTCCAATAACCTTTAATAACTCCTGAGATTGTGGGAAACGGGATCAGCCCTAACTGCTGCAGGCGAACCTTTTCAAACACAGTAAATGTAAATGGCCGACCAAAAGGTTCCCTTTCAGACCACACACTACCACCCCTGACTCTAGATTAGCCGTTTGAAGTCTGTCCTTCACGCTGACAAGGCGTCCAGACAGTTGACCTCGAGTTCAACACATTATATTCTACAACTTCTATTTATCCCCAAGAGTGGCCTGTTAGCCTACGAGACAAAGGAGCAATACGCGGCGCTGAAACAATATTTCACACAGTATGCATCCGGAAGGCTTGATTTCCATATCTGTATCTCAGTATAACAGAGAGGACATTAATAACACAGACATCTGTGCTTCCATTGTTAGGCTGGACAATCGTGAATGCTTTGCAGGCAGCAGGGTAATGAGCTCTCACTTCTGAAGGCAGCTTCGCACCGAGCAATTCAGTGCCGTTTCTGGCCACCGTGAAAGGAAAGAGACGTCTTTGGATGTGGTTCAGAAAAAAAAAGGCTGTTTTTACTTGATGTTGGTCTATGGGAAATCTCTATAACTGTGCTTGTTTGTAATTACACGTGGTCTTGCATTTGACTCCTGTAATGTCCCCGTTTTATCCAACAGCTGACCCATGACTGCTGGGATTGGCCCCGGCCTCCCCGCATCTTTGAAAAGGGTTAAGAGGAAGAAGATGAGAGATGAATGGAAAAATGAAAAAATAAATAATGCCAGTGACGTGCCGTGCTATCTGACTGACATTATAATATCAGCGGCGCTCACTGTGGCTAGACTACTATCAGGTAATCTACCTGTGAATCACAGTGTTCGTAGTCGCACGGCCTTACTTACGTTGTTTGCCTTTCCTCTCTATAAACTGTCATACCTTCTAAAAGTGCCACTATGGTATAGTGGTTTCCAACGTTTTTTCAATGTGACCCTATTCTGACATCACAAAATCTGGCAACCCCGCAGACTTTTTTCACCTAAGTCTCCTGATCCCAGCTGTCAATCAAGATGCACCAGCTCTGATATTATTATAGTGTTCCCGCTCTATATCATGGTTCTCCTTTTGCTCCCTAGGTACATCACAGATTTTTTTTTTGGCTTTAAAAATGTGGATTCTCGTTTTGAAATTGAGGTAAGCTAAATAAAATATAAATAAGTAAATATATATGTAAATATTATAATAACTATCTTGCCTCAACTTTTATCGCAATTATTCCCATTTTGCAGTGGGTCTTGGAACGCAACTACCGCCATAGGAGAGGGATCACTGTATACATGAAAGATAGATAGAAAGATATGGTTGTTTGAGATTATGTGTGGTGTTTTAAATCATTTTTTTAAATTGTTTTTTCTTTTATCAACTTCCAGACATTTTCAGCCGACCACAATTGAATTCCTGGTAACCTCATGTGGGGTCAACACTGCCATGGTATATGTAAGAAGACTTCAACCTAGACAATGGGACCATATAGGTAAGTCAAGACCGATGTGCAGATCAAGTCACTGTTAAAACCAATTGGCACTTCGGCTGTTCTTCCTCAACTTCAGCCGCCAACCAACGTCTACCTCAGTCACCTCCATAGGGTGAGCAGTGTAAATAATGGATGTGACACAGAGTGGCTTGCGATAATCTTTGAAAATCCGAGTCTGTCGCCATTGCGCTTGAAATACAGTCGCTTCTTTAAAGACAGAGCGCCGCTGTAGATTCGCAGAAGCAGGAGATCAAAATAGAGCCCAGCAGGAAATCTTTAAAAATGTACAGACTCACCGAGCTTTAGAAGGCAGACTGAGCGAAAGCAACCGTTTAATTCAAATGGAATGTTTTTTACCTAAAATTGGTCTGTCACATTCCCTTTCTTTAATAGTGAAATTGAGGGAAACTGTTGAAATGGAAGGAGGAGCACTAAAAGCTCCAAATAAACCAGCTGAGAAGTAAGATGGAAGCAGAGAGAGATCCTTACAGGCAGGAAAAAAGAATGCTGGAGTAGTAAATAATATCCTTTTAGGGAACAAATGGACAGAAAATATATTAAAATCAAAGGTCAGTGTGACCAAGCTCTGATTTAAAGTGGCTTCAAAGCAGAGCTGACACCAGGCACTGGAGTTCAAGTGAGTGTGTTGGGGCAAACGTGTTCAAACCATTAAAGTATGGCAAAAGTTACATAAGTGAAAGCCTTTGATGCTCCATTTACTTTGATGGAAGACCCAACCAAAAATAATCCTGACCCCGACTACCTTTGGTCTTTGACCTCTCACTGACAGCAAGACTAAAGAGCGAAAAAACGCAAGAAAAACATGACCTGGAATGGAAGAGTCTGCACTTGCTCCACATACTCATGCTTCAGTCACACTCTGACAGGACGGTTATTTTCACATTTATCACTTCACGGGTAAATCTCAGCAAATTTGACAAAGTGCTCTTGTCATTTGTGGGATGAAAAAAAGGCCGCAAGGTTATAAAATTATTCTACTTTTACTATCTTTACTTCATCTGCAAAAATACATTTTCTTTTTTTTTTAATAAGTTGTCAATTCCAGCTGTCACAAACTATTTACATCGGTTTGGCGCCTTTTTCATGTCCGATACTGCAACTTCAGGCTCAGGCTGCTGCTGCTGAGGCGATAGTGTCTGTCGCGCAAAATTAAGTTGAGCATTTAGGCTTAGGTATTGCATCAAACGGGCTATATTTATTTAATTTGATGTTCGATCCCGAAATGTTTTAAACAATATCGGACCAATACCCATCGAGTACCAGAACAACCCATCGCTAGTTAACTTAAAAACAAATACAGTTTTTGATCAATTTTGAGCAAATACTAACCTAATCCCCAAATATCTTGGTGCAAAACCTAACGAAGAAATACCGGGGATTGAACTAGCAATCTTTTTGCTATCAGGCAGTGGTTCTCACAGAAATGTTTTCCCGACCTACACCCCCGCAAATTGAATTACTATCGACTACCTGATAACATGTATATTTTTATCTGTACAAACCACTGTATGAGTTGCTGCCACCTAGTGACTGGAGGCTTGTTATCATTCAGGCATTACAGCAGTGGTAGACACTTATGTCAAGCGCTCTAACCCCCCCGGCATCTCACCGCGCCCCTCCAGTGGGGCCCGCCCCACTATTTGAGAAGTACTGTTTTTTCCGCCATCTGTCAAAGCTCTGTGATGTTTAGCAGAACTATGCGAGCAATGATTTGGTCAGGTTTTTCTAACCCAATGAGCAAACTTTAATTCCTGTAAGAACGAGGTTTCACATGGAGTCTATAATCACTAGTGGAAGAAAGCAACCCATTAAATCAATTAAAGTGCTACTACTTTTAATTGCAGGATAAAATAATAATTTAAATATACTGTGGGGGAAAAAATATTCATGTAGTACTTTTCAAAAGAATAAACATTTGCAGACTTTACGAAAGGGATGAGGGACGACGGAAAGAAAAAAGTAAAACTTCAACTCTTTTTGAAGGTGTAGATAAAAGCCCTGGGGATGTGCGACGCACAGCTTTCCTCCTGGGCTCTCCATTCAAACACACTTATAAACTTGTAAAACTTATCTACAGCCATCTTTTTTTAAAAGGAAAAACATCTTCAAACTTCTACTAAAAAAAAAAAATCCAGGTATGTAATTAGAACGATTGCCAACATTGAGCTGTGGCAGAGAAGAGGTTTTTGTCCTCTGTGTAATGAAGCTGCTACGGTGCAGAAAAGTCTGCACCTTATACCGACATGACCCGACATGAGTCCATGGCTGAGCGTAGGAGCAGTGTCTCAAAAGTAGCTGCAGGTTCTGCTTAATTAGGAAAGTTTGTTGTCGTCTAAATTAACTGTCAGACAGCCGCGGCCGGCTCTGGTCATCTGAGGCATGTATCTGGGCTCTATCTGAATGAACAAACCCAACTTTATTTGTAAAGTTCTCCGGTTTCCACCCAAGTGCCTGTGTTTAAATCACCCGTCTTTATCGGCCAGTGAATCAAATCAAACTCTATCATGTTGAGTCCGTGATAATTACTACTCCCACCTTTAACTCCAAACAAAAAAGCTTTCACACTCCAACTTACACAATTAAATTAGTATTGATTGGCTGTGGTGTTTAATGTCCAGGGTTATAAAGTGTTAAAGGACTGTTTCATTGGTTATCATTAATCTACATGGATCACCGCGGTGACGCCCGGCAGGAAAGTGCTTTTGATTTAATCTAACGCACTTCCTGTGACGTGTTGCTACAAGGGATGAACAGTCAAACGTTAGGGTTACTTGATCTTCGTATGGAACTATATATTCTGATTCAGAGTAAACAATGTTGGATGAATAAGGATGTCCGAGACGCGACTTATTGTACGGTTACAAGATTTGTGGCTTTAAAGTACCAACTAGAGTTGTTTGGTTTGTTGTGCACTTACATTTTAGTGTCTATTAATGTACAGTATATGAATGTGTTCATAGTCATGTTAAAAATATTCAAAACAATCTTCAAAAGTGGACAAGAAAAGAACGTAAAGTACTAGTGGTTGTTTTGGGTAACTGATTTAATATTCATTATCTATAATGTATGTGCATCCTTTCAGTATAACTTAAAGAAAGATATAGCAAAAACAAATGTACCTAACGACTATAAGCCAAAAGTCACAGCAAACATTCACTGTTGTGACCGTTCACTTAAATTTATCCCCTGCTCTGTCGCCATCTAGTGGAAAAGTTAAAGAACGGTATTAAAGCTTGTTGTGAAGAGAAAGTCTTCTCCAAAAATTGTACTTAATTTAATTAAAGGAAGACAATATCAGCAAATTGAAATTCAGGAATTTTAAGGCAAAGTCTCAAAGACTGATAAAGAACATTACCAATCTATTTATTTTTGTTTCCAGGTGTTATGGAGCTGCTTCCTACTGGAACACATAGTGGTAAGGCACCCTTTTTTTAACCTCTAAATATACACTAATAATTTACTTTTGATAATAACCTCTAAAAAACAACTATACACTAATAATTTACTTTTGATAATTTACTAATTCGATGGTTTAGACCCAAAAAGGTTTTTCCATACCTTTGCCAGAAACGACTTCATTCTCTACCCGCCAGCGAAATCCAAACTGTTGGAACAAGAAACACATATATCAGCAAATGTAAATACAGTAAGACTGGAAGTTAACATGCTGTCACACAGCTGGATTTAGTTGAAAGGCTCATTACTAATATATATACAGTATATATTCTTTTTTCATTCCTGATGACAGCCCTTTTTTAGAACTAACATTTAAGCTCTTCCTGTAGTTTGTGTAGTGTATGAACCCTGAAACATACCTGAGAAAAGTCTAAAAGTTGGACAAAATTATAAGAAAATGTTCTAAATAGGTGTCACGAATTAACTGAAGTTAAACAAAAATGAGTAAATAAACGAGCAAAAATAAGGCACAAATATGGCATGAAGTTACAAAGTTTCAGAATGAATGGTAATTGTTAAAAAAAAATAGCAGAAATAGTATTAGCCTGAAAGTAAAAGATAGCCAGGGAATCACCCAGCGTCTAATGTTAGATGTGAAACAAATAATAAACTAAATAGTAGCAAAGAAAAAAAGAAAATTAAATAAAAAATAGCTACAGATAATTAAGACCTACCTAGAAAAAAGAACAATAAGTAATGACAGTTCAGTTTTTGCTTAAGCTTTGCTGTAGCTACAACAGTGTTTGCACACAAATATCACCTCCTTGCCCTGATAAAGAGCAACATAAACATTCAACAAATACAATGGCTCTAACTGACAGAGCTGGCTCCTAAACCAGACTTCTTAATCTGGATATTTGTTGTCAACATAACACATCGCTGCAGTTATGATATGAAGTGTCTCAGTTATGAAGATCTCACCTTCACTTGCAGCACAGTTACTGAGGCAGTAAGTGTCATTTTCGGATCACGGTGTCAGAATCATGCTGCCACCTCTTGGCGGCAGTATTTATAGTTAATTTTTCCATATGCTGTGTTTCTGTGGTAACATACTTTCACATAATGAGAATTGACACCAGGCAGTGACACCACCAAGTAACGAAAACCACGTACTGCAAAAGCGATACAGTTAATTCATCATCATTTGAAAATAGTATTCACCACTTGCGCGATCCGTTACCATGAAGCAACAAGATGGAGGTATTCTGTTACTACGTGGGAAACCTGCTGATATAGACTCTCACTATAAACACAGCCACCGGCAGGGCCTCACCTGTGGGGACTAACCTCTAATAACCTCTGTACCTATGGACTTGACAACAACTTCAACAATATTTGCTATCGTTTCAGGTTGTATTTTCTGACTGTCTGGGGTTTTTGTCGTTCCATCAGGTGTTGATTAGTAGTGTATACCCATAATCTGTATTTACATACAACAGTGTTTCCCAAAGTGGGGGGCGGGGGCTCGTTGGGGGGCGCAGCGGTATAGCAGAGGGGCCAGGTCAAATAGTTTAATTATTTTGTATTTGTAATAAAAAAAGAATAAGTCATTTCATTAGTACCACAGTACTGTATTTTTATTTTCATTGAGAATATCAACTTTTAGGAATTACAGTATTTAAATATAAAATTCAGAGGAGTCTTGAAGCAATAGCTGTGAATGTGTTGATGTGTGGGTGGGCTTGACAAGTCCTATTAATCAAATGGAGTGTGGGAGGTCCGCAGAAAAAGTTTAAGTAAAAAAAAAAAACAAAAAACCAAATAACCAGCAGACTCTGTGCTGATCTTGTTGCAAAACAGAGTCTAATTTATGATGAGCCTGAAGTTATTGCTTTATAGTGGGCGTGACATATTACTTGAAATGTTAGAATTAACTGGGTGTCATATTTCAGGTGCTGTTTACTGTACCAATTGGATAAAATCGGATTTACTCCAAAATCCCCAAAAGCCATTTTTAGTGAAATCAAATCTCCCCGCCTCAGACCCGGATCAGGGAGCTCTGTCAGCACTATTTGTCGTTCCACATAAAGACAAGTGAATAATCCATTTTTCTTACCTTGTTTTCTTTGTAGCGGCTGAGATCAGCTATGCAGTACTCTTTAAACAGCTTGTCATAATATTTCTTTGCAAGTTCTTTTTCCCTGAAACAGAATCGGTCCAGATTTTAGGTAAGGAGACGCGTGACGTGACCTTTACTGTCCTCATTTACTGTGGAGAAAGGAACAATAACCGAAGAGGAATCGATCGTAACAAACAGCGAGTCTGGTAAGTCTGACTGTGAACGTTTACCATGTCATGTCTTCCTCGTCCTCGTCTCTCCACAGGAAGCGGTGATTCTCGCGCAGCACGTCATGGTCTGTTTTGTCATTGGCTCTGAAAGAGAGACAAAACTAAAGTACGAAAAGTACAGCCATATTGTGTATGACAATAATAGTTTACAAATAAAAATACGGCTCACAATTGTCTGTAATGACTGACAGAAGAAATCGGCTAATGGTGATCATCAGGCCTGTGTGTGAGAAACAGCAGCACTTACGTAGAGCGTTTGAGGTTAGCCATATGTCCGCCATAATAAAGGATGTAGTCGCCGACAAATTTCTTATGTCGCTCGAACTGTGGTTTTCTAATTAAAGAATCTGACTCTGGATGTCAACATTTATATAATGGGATAAGAAATGAATCATTTTTATATAATATATTACAGTATTCCTCAAACTCTGGAGCTAACACTGCTGTTAGCGTTGAGATATTTACATCATTATTTTCTGACAAAATAATAATAGAAATTACCACAAAAAAAACTTTATACAGTATGGTGTGAAATCTTTATAGTTCTAATGATTAGGATCAAGGATCTAGGATGTGGTTTGAGGCATGCATGCATCAGTCAACATTTGGAGGCATATCTGTAACATTCCGGGGTTGTCTTTTAGCCTTTGTTTGCAAACATCAGCGATTAATACAAGTGGATACAGCATTCATCGATATCAAGTGGGCTCTTCTGTTGATTGCCTCCTCTCTGAAAAAGAGAAACGAAACAAATTATTTTACAATAATAAAAATACAAAAAATATATATTGCAAAATAAGTCTTTGCTTCATGTGACATCTGCAACTTCACTTGACACAGTGAAGTTGTTGATTTAAAATACTACCTGTCCAGCTCATTAGAGTGGAAACTCCGGTGAGCCACTTGTTGGCGACTACCTTTCTGGAACGGCTTCTGCAAAATGTCCGCTTCACTCTTCCTGACATTGGTATGAATAAAAAAAGAAACATTGTATTAGATGGTAAGGCTGTCAGCTTAGAGCAGTAGACGTTAAGACTGTATGGATGGATGGATGGATGGATGGATGGATGGATGGATGATTACACTACTGACCCAAGTGTAGACTCAAGTACAGAAAAAAGCAAACGTATACTCTGATATAAATAACATCCTGACATTGTTTTACTCTGACCTTTTAAGGCCACGGTTTGAGGATTCTCCCGTGTCATCGTCACTGAAGTCAGAGTCATAGCCACCGCCACCATGAACCTGGGGAAACATGTGGCAGAGTCATGGGTTCAAATACGTGTACGCAGATCAAACGGCAATGATTTCCAAAGCTGCTCCCTCATTTAGGGGTCACCACAGGAAGTAATCATAATTTATCCTGTTCAATGACTCAGGAACTGGAACATTTCACCCCAGACACCTTGGTGGTCTTGAGATTTCTTTGCACCCCCCCCAGAGATTCAGGACAATGTGCACCCCCACACAGCCTCCTCCATTTGGTACGGTGAGTACAGTTTCTTCCATTGAATGCTTCATGTTTGCTAATAACTGGCCAAAAAGCTCTAGTTTTGACTCATTTCAATCGGAATATTCACTGAAAATTGGTGACTTGCAGTCTGCATATTGTTAAACACTTACTTTACATGAATTACAAACTAATTTGTCCAGGCCAGTTTCATTCATTTGTTTTGTTAAATGATTATGTTGAACCACAAATTAAAAATTATATTTTTACTGCCTTATAAATTAATTAATGCTACTTATAATTACTTAAATCACTTTGTAAAACGCTTAGAAATACTACAACTAGAAGTAACGAGAGGAAACAATATGAAGATCCACACTGAGGTTAATATTTAAATAGAATTTAAAAAATGATCAATGACATACTTCAATCAGTGAAATTTGGTGAATTCTCGACTACGACTATAGCCAGACGAACACGTTAGAACGTTTAGCATAATTTAAAAATAAAACTAGTTTACGTGTAAAACGCGTTGTCAGGAATGTGTAAAACACGAAGAACACAATGTGATGGCTTAATAACGCAAACATTAACTAATTCACAACGTTTTACTGCTACTGTTACGTCCTAACTGTTGAGCAGAAAATACAACAGTCTGTCTACATTTTACTGAAGTGAAACTCCGTTTTCCTAAGCCTACCTTCACCAGGTTATCCATAATTTGTCTTCACTTTGCGCCGACAGCGTTTGATTGTTTACTAAACAGAACATGCGTCGCGACGTGATGACGTATCTGTCGCAGTTCGGTGACGCAGCCCACATTATTTTTAATCTTAGGCAGTGTGCTGAGAGAAACGAAAAGGAAATTATATATTTCTCAGTGGCGAAATTTGATATCTAGAATATTTAAATTGAAAAAAATATATTTCCAGTCTTTACATGAGTTTCTGCCTTTTTGACGTACACATTTATAGCATTTTTTTATTATGCGCCCAGCAATCAGGCATTTGTTTAAGTGTTAACAATGGTCACAGGAAATGGACAAGGGAATATTCAGAGCCTTATGAAATAAGTGGCGAACATTTAAGGGAAAATGGTCCAATTACAACCAGTAATGATTTACTGGAATTATCGTGCTTTATCTCAAATGGACAATTTAATGACGCACGTGGGCGTTTTGATCTGCAGATAAAAAAAATAAAAAAGGGATATTATTGAACTTCTTCCTTTACCCATCTGTGTCTTCATATAATTGGGTTCAAAGGTCATTGGAGGTTCCTGGGGTCAGAGTTCACCTCAGTCTGGGAAACAAAAGTCCCCTGTTTTCTATTTTTTTAAAAGCAGTCCATTGAATTCAACAAAGAAGCCAGTGTTTTGTTTTGTTTTTTTGAGAAGAATCTACAGTAGAATTATAATAATTACAATAATAATAAAATAACCCTAAGGCAATAGAATATGTATCTATTAAAAATACAATTAGTAAATAGCCTCTAATGTTGTATTATTTCATTTAAAAAAGAAACAGAATTCCAAAAAGGAAAATTACTACAAGTTACTACATGTTGGTGCATTTTGTAAATTTTTTATTTAAAATAGTCACTTTCGGTGAACATATTTTGAATATGTATTGTTTTTTTTATTTATTTGTCCAAAATGGAATATAACAATATACAATATACATACAATATTATTATTATTATTATTATTATTATTATTATTATTATTATTGGGGTTTCTATTAATCTATATGTGTTTCTTTTATCAAAGAGGAATCATCCTTTTCTCTCAGTCAATGCCATTATTATGCCAGAGACAAGAGGCAGCATTTAAATGAGTGGGGCAGGTGCATTTGAACACAGCTCATGAATAGTCGCTCTCCATTAGGCACGCACGGCCCTGAAGCGCGCATAAATAATGGTTGGCATCGCTGATAAAAAAAGCGCACCTTGGGGCCTCCCCCTCACCCTTTGCCCCCCTTCTCCCTCTTTCTTCTCCTCTCTTTCTCTCTCACGGGAATTTACGCTTTTTGTTGTTTCCTTCCTCCCTTTCATGGCTCCAGCACTGATTCAAAAACAACACTTCGTGAAGGGGAGCAATTCTCAAAGTGGTGCTTCTTCCTCATCTCATTGGCGACCACTTATTCCACATGGGACGGTGGGTTGATTGGTTTTTATAATTAAAAAAGAAAACACCCAGACTGCTCTTTGCTGCCATGCATGTCTTGTCTGTCCTGCATTTGTAATCCTGCTCCCTGCAAAACGAATCCGCTGGACTGGTGCCTTTCCAATTGAGACGCAAGAAGCATAGAGACAAGCCTGCAACATACACCGGGTTTGATCATTTAAACAAACAAACGGGGAGCGAAAACAAACGCTTTCGATCCCGCGCAAGTTGCATGTAAGTGACGAGTCCTCCTGGAGCGGGGCAGACGAGATGGGATACCCGGGTAGAGCAGACAGAGGATGGGGAGGATGGACGCTGCTGGTGTGGGTCGCCGCCGTCAGCAGTCTGATCTCAGCTGCAGACGCCCGGAAGCTGAAGCAGCCCAGATGTCCTCCAGGATGTATCTGCACCAAAGATAATGCCCTGTGCGAGGATGTCCAGTCGGTGCCCCACATTTTTCCCCCGGACGTCGTCTCACTGTAAGTACCTCTGAAGCTCAGTACTGTGTGTACCGTTTCTTTCACACTGTGAATGATGCCACAGTTCGACTAGCAGCAAGTTTGTTTTTTTTAACACTTTCATGTGGGTCTTACTCTTGAGCTTACCCTAATGTTTTGTACTGTAATGATTTCACCTTCAGATCATTCGTCAAGTCTGGATTCAACGAAATCTCCGGAGGAAGCTTCGTTCACACGCCTGCCCTTCAGCTGCTGTGAGTCTGTTTGTTTATCTGTGCCATGGTGGGGGCAATATACCATAACGATCAAAAGTACGATATTAACCCCCCCCCCCCCCCCCCCCCCCCCCTCCACTCACTATGATTTATGACTCTAGTGTGACATTATTTCTACTTCCCTGAACATTGCTTATAACGTTTGCCACCTAATGGTGATACTGCGAATTGCACCAAACAAAGGGCTCCTCCGCTCTCCCCTCCACAGGATGTGGTTGTAAACAAGCATGTTGGATCGACTCTTGAGCTGAAGAATGTCAGGGGTTTTTAAAGAAGAAAGATCTCCAGATTGAGAACATTTCTCTGAAACGGAATAGTTATTTTTAATTACTGCCCGAATACCGATTTGACAAAAGTTGTTGTGCTTTCTAAGAATGCAAAGAGGGAGAGAGGGGATAAACGCAGATCTATATTCTGACTGTTATAGTTCGCTAATGACGTTTTTTGTGTTATACGTACAGAATATAAAACGTGAGCTGCTCATCAGCTCCTTGTGAAGCAATTAATCGTTTATATTGGAAAGAAAAATCTAAACTCCAGAGGGGTCACCAAAGTACACACACACACACACACACACATTTGATGTCTACAAAGCCATGCTTTTGTTATTTGTGCGGAATTAGGTCTGGCATTGTCCTGCTGTCCCGTGGAGTTCCTGGGAAAAAAGACTTGATGGGATTTGTTCCTGTCTCTCCAGAAATTCCAGCGTGGTTATTATTCCAGCTAATAACCAGTACATATTTGTTTATTCGGGATTTGTTCCTGTCTCTCCAAAAATTCCAGCGCTAATAACCAGTACATATTTGTTTATTTTAATAAAACAAAAAATAAAGTTAAAACAGCCAAATGATGTGTTTTTATCAATGGTATTTCTCAGCAGGTTGCAACCTGGATGTTTACTGTCATCAATAATGACATCATCAGCATTTTAATAAAACATGACAGGAACCTGAGAATGTGTCACAAGAGAAGGATTCCTTCCTGTTGACCTATATTAAAATAAAAACACAGTGTAACATTAAAACACTGTGATAAAACTGTGCACTACATCTAATATTATTATTATTATTATTATTATTATTTAAATTATGTTTCTTCTATTCACAGGTTATTCACAGCAAACTCATTTGACCTCATTGATGAAGATGCGTTTCTGGGTTTACCACACCTGGAATACTTGTAAGTATTTGTCTGGAAGATGCAACATATGCATGAACAAAGTACTGTACGTCTCTTTATGAACTGCGCTTGTGATTGGTCAGATGTACTCAAGCACTAACTGAATACTTGTCGTTCACAGATTTATTGAAAACAACAAAATTACATCAATATCCTCATTCGCTTTCCGGGGCTTAAAAACACTGTTACATCTGTAAGTATTTAAGTCTTTTCAGCTTTTCATTCTACACATTCTTTGTTAGCTGCAGTTTTAGCAGTGTAAAAAACTCTACATCTGTCATTGCTTAAAGGAAAATATTGACAGTTACACAACAAGCCCTTGTCCTTGCGCGGTGACTCATTCTGTCTTTGTCTGAAAAAGCAAAGCAGGCACATGTGCTGCAGCGAGTGCTGATGTCCACAAGGTGACTGGCTAAAGGTGTCACCTGGATCAGGTTGCAGATCATGGTGTCTCTGAATGTTACATTGAAGTGATGGACAAGCAGAGTGGTTAATAACAAATCAAATCATCATAAATTGACTGTCCTCTGACTCTAAGACAGGGGTGGGCAAACTTTTTGACTGGCGGGCCACAATTGGTCCTAAAATTGAATAGAGGGGCCGGGTCAGGAGTAGATAGATGCAGAGTTTGTGTGAACTAAGATAAATGACATTTTAAAGGCAAAAATGATAAAAATGCGTTTATCATTTTCTACGCCATCTATTGGGGAAACATGGGTATTGCAGGGAAAAGGCAAAAGTATAAATGTGTAAATAAATTATATAATTTGGAAAAGTTTGGTGGCCGGATTAAAAAGCTGAACGGGCCGCATCTGGCCCCCGGGCCTTAGTTTGCCCATGCCTGTTCTCACTCTATACCTACTAATCTTGGACATATCTATCGTATCAGTGATACGATGATACTAGAGGAGTTAGCTTAAAAAGAAACGTGTATTTTGTACGCTTGTAAACCATCTCACCTTCCTGAAGTGCAAAGTGTGCCAGAGTTAAACATAGTGTGAGAATGTGCTAAACCTCTAAGGTCAGGACTAATTATAGCTGTAATATAAGCTCAAACCAACTGACTTGTAATCCACCCTTGGTTCTATGACAGAGTTTTTACGTAACATAATAAAAGGGTTTTTTCCCAGGTTGGTGCAAGCCAAAACTCTCATGCATCATGAAGTAAACAATATTCGAATGGATATTTGAAATTAAAATATGGTTTGACATTAAGGGTGTACTGATTCTTCTCATGGATACAAATGTCAAATGACTATCTAAATCTAAGCAGAAGAGGTACAAAAGGTGATAAACTAGAGCACTGTTTTTCAACCTCGGGCTCGTGACCCCACGTGGGGCCTCCTAGGTTTGAAGGAGGGTCGTATGAAGTTTCTAGTAATTGATAAAAAAATACTGATTAAATTGTTTTTCATAATTGTTCATATTTTTTTAAAAAGTTAACTGTGATCATTTTATCTATTGTGATTAGTACTCTATGTCAGCTGCTTTATTGTTTACCTAGAAATGACTGATGCTGAGGTCTGCAAACTTCTCACTCTGCACTGCATGTTTTGGGTATTTTTATTAGGAGTCTCGCCTACAACAATCTTGAGACGCTGCCAAAAGATGTCTTCAAAGGCATGGATGCTTTGACCAAAGTGTGAGTGAATCACTTTTGCAGTAACCCTTTCTTCCATTACATGAACAAAAGTAATTGTGATCATCAGAGGTCAATGGCCAAGTCTGACTGAGTCTTATCAGTTGAGAAGACACCTGTTGTTTATGCTGACTTGGAGCCAAATTCAACCAATTGAGGTGAAAGTTTTCGTTTATGATTGGCTGTGACATTTCACCAATCAAACTTTTGTCCATGAACGTGTATGCAGTGATCTACGGGGTAACAACCTGATATGTGACTGTAAGCTCAAATGGCTGGTAGAGTGGATGCATCAAACCAATGCCACTCTGGATGACATCTACTGCAGTGGTCCACCAGTAAACCAGGGCAAGAGACTGAATGACCTGCTGCCACACTCCTTTGACTGTATCACAACAGGTAACGTCCACCCACATACAGCATGTCTTTATCTGGAGGCACTTCCTTACTACGCTAATTTATCGTTTTATCCTTTCGCTTACTTCTCCTCCCCTTGCTTATCAACACTTTGAGAAGCCAGGAAATAAAAAAACTGTGAAGTGGAGAATGCTCCCTGCCAGACTGCTGCTGCTGAAAAATTTATGATTGTTATGACTTTGACACCACCGCTGAAAAATGTATGATTGTTATGACTTTGACACCACCGAGAAAGAACTTTTTTTTTTTTTTTTTTTTTTTTTTGTTTTTTTTTGGTTTGGCCCATCTATATCAGTCACTGAAGTTCGAGTCCATTTCAGTGGAGGCCTTCACCTTTGGTAAAGACCAATATGTTGTGTTTCCGCAACCGTTTGCTGGGACGTGCAGCTTCCTGGAATGGGATCATGTGGAGATGACCTTCAGACCCTTTGAAACTATTGAAAGTGAGAAAAAGACAAAAGTCACAGTCTTAACCTTGTGAATTCTTTGTTTTTTTGGAAGGAGTTGAAGGGAATTTATTGCTGTAAATGAGTCGTCGTTGTAAGCTCTTCTCTGCAATAAGTTGAATTGAGCATTGGTCAAGGACAGAAACAAATATGAGTTGTCTAGATAGATGGACGGACAGACGGACGGACGGACGGATAGATGGATGGATGGACGAACGGACGGACGGATGGATAGATAGATAGATGGATGGATGGATGATAGATGGATGGATGATAGATAGATAGATAGATGGATAGATGGAGGGAAGGATGGATGATAGATAGATGGATGGATGGACGGATAGATAGATGGATGGACGGACAGATAGATGGATGGATAGAGGATGGATGGATAGATGGATGGATGGACGGATAGATGGATGGATGATAGATGGATGAATAGGGGATGGATGCATGGATAGATAGATGGATGGCTAGATAGATAGATATAAAAAATATCTAAATAAATAAATGATGAATTAAAAATATATCTCATTCATAATTTATATTCAGATTGATTTTGTTATCGGAGCAGCACAACAATGGCACCGGTCCAAGGTCGAAATGTTTTCATTTTTCCCATTTGTCCATCCAGGCACCTCCACCGTGGTCTGCAAGCCAATGGTGATCGACAACCAACTCTTTATCATCGTGGCCCAGTTGTTCGGCGGCTCGCACATTTACAAGCGCGACGTCTCCGCGAACAAGTTCATCAAGATCCAAGACATCGACATACTGAAGATACGCAAGCCCAACGACGTGGAGACGTTCGTGATTGACGGAGAGTCTTTCTTTGTCATCGCCGACAGCTCTAAGGTAGTTTTAGTCGTCTTCTGTTTCTACGCCACCACCTGCGACGGTCTTGTACTTCATTGTTATAAACTGCATCTGTGTGATTTTTATCATGCATACTCACAACGATAATATTCTGTTTAAGCACTCTCCCCACTGCACCAGATGTTCTACTCTCCAGCTTCCTGTGCGGCATGTGTTTGTTTGCCTCCCCTGACTACTGTGGTATTGGCAAATGTTCACATATGCTCCGACATATGTTTAGAGACATCGGAGCTTGTTTACAATCACAGACATGCACAAATTATAAATTAATCCATGGTTTGTTTTTGCAGATGGCCATTAAGCACATGTAATTGATGTATTAATAACAGACCAAATATGTTTTGCTTTAACTACACGGTGATCTCAAGACAAGTGATGCTTTACGTTTGTGTCCGTCCCAGGCTGGATCCACAACCGTGTACAAATGGAACGGCAACGGCTTCTACTCCCACCAGTCGCTGCACCCGTGGTACAGGGACACAGATGTGGAATATTTGGAGATTTCCCACAAACCACATCTGATCCTGTCGAGCAGCTCCCAGAGGCCCGTAGTGTACCAGTGGAACAGGGGCCAGAAGCAGTTTGACCGCAGGACTGACATACCGGATATGGAAGACGTCTTTTCTGTCAAACACTTCCGGGTTAAAGGTGAGTGCTGTGTGTGCAAATTGAAGAAATTTGCAAATTTCAATTTGAATTTATGTGATTCAGGCTTCTTTTTTTTTGTAAAGTACGACAATGCACTAGTTCATCTCATGCGTTACCACCTCATACTAATGAGGGTTTTTGGCCCCACCCTTATTACAATCTATAATCTACACTCATCAAACCTAATTATGTTTGTTATGTTAATTATTTGGATGAATGTAGCTTATATTTGTAGCATAATTCAAGTCTAAAATTGAGTATAATTCAATTTTTAATGCATACATGCACTGTATATTCAGTATTAACCACCTCCACATTTTTAAAAAAAAAATTTTTATTTTTATTTTTTGCATGCTACTTTTTAAGTTACAATTCTGATTCTGAGGTCCTTTCTTCCACCACCTCCACATTTTTAATTTCTTTTTTTATTTTCATTTTTTGCATGCTACCTTTTAAGTCACAATTCTGATTCTGAGGTCCTTTCTTCACTCCAGAGAAAGACCTGCATTGAATGTCACATGATTGACATTATCCTTTGCCCGTTGCTTCTTCTGTGATGTTGTCAGTTTAATTAACAAAAAAAAAGATGACCATTCAGCCTATTGTTAAAAATGTCACAAAGACCTTTATTTCCAAGATTTATTATGTCACTGAACCTAAAACATACCCGTAAATCCGTACAGTGTGTACAGATGGGTTTTTTCCCCCTAGTGTATAGAACAGCTAGAGTACATTTTGTTACCATCTTGTTGGGAGAAAAAAAAATCATATTTGGTGCATTTATAATCTGATCTGTTTCAGTTTCACATTTTGCATGTGGACGTTGTAAGCTAAAGTCTTTTAAATCTTGGTCGTCTTCCAAGGTGATCTGTTTATATGCCTGACAAGATTCATCGGGGACTCCAAGGTGATGCGTTGGGATGGTGCCATGTTCAAGGAGGTCCAGACATTTCCCTCTCGCGGCTCAATGGTGTTCCAGCCTGTCACCATCGACAAATGGCAGTATGCCATCTTGGGAAGTGATTACTCACTGACCCAGGTCTACCAATGGGAGCCTAAGAGAGGGGTGTTTGTTCCAGCCCAAGAGTTGAATATCCAGGCACCCAGGGCATTTGCTTTGGTCACCATAGATGACCGGGTATTTCTGTTTGCATCCAGCTTTAAGGGGAAAACTCAAATTTATGAACACTTAATGATTGATTTGAGTACTTAAACTCATGGCCAGGGTAGGGAACATCCTTCATTTCGACTCAATGGTTTTTTTTTTTTCGTTTGATTTTCTTAACATTCACACTAAGCCTACTAGCAACGTTATAGGTAAGAATACTGTATTATTACGTTGGGCTGGGTTTTTTTAATTAGTTAAAATGTTTACTGTGTCTGGGACAACACTAAAATGTGTGGTAATGTGCTGCAGTTACAGTATTTCCTGGAAATTAAGCCACAACCAATCACTGGAAGTGTCTACAGTATATATATATATATATATATGTATTAGGGATGTCCGATATTATCTTTTTGCCGATATCCGATATGCCGATATTAAACTTAATTTCCGATTCCGATATCAACCAATACTGATATAGCAGGGCAGTGGCGGAAGTTAAGTGTACTGAGTTAAGTGTACTGCTCACTAAGGTGATGAGTTAAAACAGTGGGGTTTTTTTTCAATTATTTTCTGCCCCCTAGGGGACAGAATCAAAATACTGTTGAGGGCCTGGTAATATTTATTTATTTATTTATCCGTACAAACCGCTGTAAGAGTTGCTTGCAGCAGCAATCTGCATCCCCCCCCCCCCCCCCCCCCTCAAAATACTTGAGCGCCTAATATTTATTCATTTATCTGTACAAACCACTGTAAGAGCTGCTGGCAGCCACACTCTTCATACAATCTCCTGATGATTGAATGAATGAATGTAGATTAATAACATAAGGTACGATGCTGCCATCTAGTGACTAGAGGCTTGTTTATCGTTCATGTTCATGTGTTATGAAGGAGTTAACAGTTACAGGTATGGGAGAGGGAGTGAGGAGGTGTGGTGAGAGCTCGTGTGTGTGTGTGGAGAGTGTGGAGAGTGTGAGAAGAGGAAAAGGTGTTTTTGGAGAAGCTGGGTTGAGAGAAATAAAGGAGTTTAGAACCAGTTACTGCAGTTGAGTTTCAATGAAAGCTCTTCAGAGCACTGAGGCATAGTTTTAGAGAGCACATCATTTGGAGAAGCCCAGGCATTGCGTTATTGCGTTTTCATTATCGGAGGAAAAACCAATAATGATTCTTACAGATATTACAAAATATGCGAATATCGGGCCAACATCCCTAATATATATACATTATATATATATATATATCAGCTTAATTTTCATGAAATACAGTATTTTTCTTAATAATTGCTTTTTAATAATGTCTTAGTTTACGTCCCACTTTGAATGTCTCAGAACTGACTAACTGACCACTCTATCTCATCAAATGTCAAACTCTTGAGGCCTATACCTCGATAACCATTGTACATATTTGTTATTATCCCCTGCATTCACATGTTTGTGTTTTTTTAAGATAGGCAATGTATTTTCATGTTTAATGGAAATATACTAAACTCAACTAAAAAAAATAACTTTACACACAACTCCTTTTGCTGCAACACTAATCGCAAATCAACACGTTTCAACACAGCTTTTTACCAGCATGGACCAAGTCATAACTTCCTGAAAATCTTTAACCATTTTTTTTGGTGGAATTGTGTTTTTGGAGGTGCAGCGTTCTAAAACATTTTAAAATGGCGTTTTGCTGTGACATTTAATTGCCACATCATTTTGTCAGGGGACTTATTCTATTATATCATTGATTTCTGTACTGAGCCGCAGGATAAAAAAGATTTATCTTTAACAGAGGCCTCTTTTACCCTATGAAATACATTCCAGTGACATTTTGGTCCGTGTCCAGACCACATTTAGCAAATGGTGCTATCAAAAGATTTGATTTAGTGCATCTTTTAATCATTGAAAGTCACATGTTTGACAGACAGACAGACGGCCAGCAGCACTGAGCTATTTTTTTATGTAATTTGAGTCTGTTTCAAAGCAGCTAGCCTGCTGTTGTGAGCAAAAAAAATGGCATTGCAATAGTTAGTTGTTTTTCTTTTGATGGATACCCCGCAGTGCATATCTCACCTCTAATAAGTAATTCAACGCCAACTGCTAGAACGGGGTGTCAAACATACGGCCTGCGGGCCAAAACCGGCTCGCTTGATGAATTTTGAAAATTAAACAAAATACACAAATTTAATGTTCAGGATATTTTTTGTAAAATTATATTTCATTACATACAGTGCATAATAATAAATATCTGATATTCTTGTACTTCTTTGCATGAAAACAAAGACTTGTTTTGTAATCGTCATTTCTAGTTAACTATGTTATCGTTGTACTGGTCTGGCCCACCTGAAATATGATTAGGTTGTATGCGGCCCATTAACCAAAATTAGTTTGACACCCCTGTGCTAGAAGATCAATGACCTATTTGTGAAACATTGTTTTAAAAATATATATGTTACATTTCTTCCCAGCACGTTAACCATGTCATCACCGACTGACGTCTAACTTTCAGAACAGTTAACATATATTCTTATAGTGTAACACTGTGAGTTCCGGGGTTGTATAATAGAAATCACACCCTGTTCCGTATACCTTCAAAAGAGCAAGTTTGTGTCTAATACAGACTTTTGGCGCAGTGTTTATTCCTGATGAATGCCTGACTAGAAGCATCCCACTGTGTCCTCTCGCTTTCACTGCACTCTTGCCTCTTTTCTCCCACACTGACAAAAACCATTGTTGTCTTTACTCCACAGCTAAAAGCCAACCACTGTGCAGCACCTACACTACCTGCGCTTTCACACGCTCCTCTTACCCTCACACAAAAGAATCCAAATGTAACACCTTATCGACTTATCGGCCAGCGACGACAGTTTGCCAAATGTGCTGTTGATACGTTTTTTTTTTTAGTAAAGTAGAATGATGTTGCCTTTATGCGTACGTTAGTGGCACCACAGACATTTTATTTTTATAGACATTGTAGATTTCTTAAAATTGTCTTACTAACAACTCATGGAAATGTTGTGCTGTCACCTTTGTCAGTGTGAATTAGTTACTTAGAAGTAGATAATGAAATCATTTTCGTTTGTACTGTGTGAAGTATTTTGTGTACAAAAGTAATAAAGCTATAACGCTCGCCGGTCTAGCTGGTAAACTCATTTAGATGTTTGGTTTTTTTTTTCTTTTATCAAAAATAATGATTTTTTGAATATATACAGAGCCGATCAAACATATCAATACACACAGAGACAAACAAAAACAATCTACTGTGCTGTAACTGTACTATGTGCTGCAGACGTTTTAAATTTTAAAATTAAAATGAATCAAGTGCAGATTTAATCTTATTCACTTTTCAAAAAATACCACACAAAATCAAATCTGTTCTGAAGGCTTGGTGGATATTGTATTGTCTTTTTTGCAGTTTACAGTCGTAAAAAAAAAAAAAAAAATTCTCAGAATTTCAAAGGTGGCAAACCCCCGACTTTGTTACCACAATAATTCAGAGTAAATACAAGATTTGCGTCCTTACCAGAAGAACATTAAATCTGGAATAGCTTGAGAGATTGTTGGAATGGAGAACATATGGTGACACTGAAGGACACTTGCTGATAAAGTGCACCGAATTACTGCAGTCTGTAATGTAGTAACAAGGCAAACAATGTTGGGATCATAACCTGCCTTTATCTTTTATCTCTGACTTAATTTTAGGAACCATGGGGAGCCCATCACACAGTTACATGGAGAGACAACCATTCAGGCTGATATTTATGGGTTTAATTAAACTAGTCCTGCATGTTTTCAACCTGGTAAGTACACAAAGTATTCTGAGAGAACGCACAAACACATTGGGAGAATATGCAAAAAAAACCCACTGCAGTTACACTAGAGTTCAAAGTGGTGACCCGTCTTAATGTTAGGCTAGAACACTAACCACTGTCACCGGTCCAACTTATAATAATAATAATAATAATACATTTTATTTCATAGGTGCCTTTCTGTCACCCAAGGACACCTATTTATAAGAGATGATGTTCTTTTTTGTTTTTCCAAGGCATACTTTTGTTATTTTAATTTCAAGCCACAGCCTTTTATTAACACACACCTGTGAAAAATCAGATAATGTCTTACCTTCTCTTCCTTTCTATATCAGAAGCTCTCTAACATAAATTGTTTGTTTTATGATATGATCTATCCTTTTATCCTTTCATTTAGTATGATGGCTTTGTTTTGTTTTGTTTTTTTAAATAGCAGCAGTATTATTTTCCATTTTTTTGATAGTGTACAATGTTTTTTACATAATATTTGATTGCATGAAAATGGGGAAATGACTTGGTAATAACTTAACACTAAGTCTTCCTTTAATGTGGGTGCAAAATGTTTAACTAATAGTTAAAGTGTTAGTTAAAAAAAAACCCCATCAACTTTTAACCACGTTATCACGAACGGGGTTACTTTGAATGGCTCCCGTTGTATTTGATTATATGATGAATAGCAGCCGGAGGATTGTGCTCACTTCTGCCCCCCTGTGGCTGAAGTTACGACTACAGCAGACAGAGTTTGTGCTTTACCCTGTCACCAAGGTTAGTTATTAACCTTGCCTTCCCACTCAGGACACCGCAAAAGGACAGTAGCTCTGTCTGTGTGAGGCATGCTGCCACCCGACCGTTGCATCTTATCATGGGCGACTGTAACACGGCTACACACGAGCGGACTCCATCCGTGAGGGACATTACTGTGGTGTTTCACAAAGTTGACTGCCACGAACAGAACCAAAACAGCGACCATGAATACGACGAGTGCAACGACGCAGCCGAGCACCTTCCACTGCGGGGCGACTGCCGTGTGTCCCACGGCTACGGTTTTGGTGAGGACGATGATGCCGCGTGTGATGATGCTCCGAGGAAGGAGGAAGTGACAGGAAGACATAATTCGCTGGAAGGTGGAAAGAAGCAAACGCCGCTATGTCCGCCGGCGTTTTGCGTGAGAAGCGAGCCGGCATGCGAAGAAGGAACAGGAGAACAGCAAGGTAGAAAGTTTTAAGTCTAACGACATTTTATCCGTGTGTCTATACACCTCTTAGTAACAGGCTTAGTAACCTTTGTGACGTACAACGGAAAAGATAAAGTGATAAACAAACACAAGCAGTACCAGATTATACAACAACTCTGCGTCCCTGAAGACAGATAACGTTGCCGGTGTCACGTGTGCTCCTTAAATTATGTTTTTTATTTTATGTTAATTTATGTATTTATTGAAAATTGCTTCATAACGATATATTAAATGTTGCTTCGTATGCCAAGTAACAATTAACTTTGTATTTTTACGCTCATTTAGGAATATAATTTGTTACATTCGAAGTGAAGCATCTAAAAAGTCCGCCATTTTGGATTAATTGCACTTTATTCCTTATTTCGCTTAAAACAATCCTGTTAGTAAGTTATACTATTTAAATACCCTACAATATAACGCAAGTACTTACAAATTAACCTAATTACAGCCCTTTTAAAGCCACTTTTAACTTGTAATGTATTTCTCTCATAAAGTCAGGTAAAGTCATGAAATATTATTGTTTTTTTAAGTTAGAGTTTTGGTGCACAAAGCGTTGTTTACCTTTTGTTAAAGCTAGGAATTTATAAACTTTTTCAAAGAGGGCCAGATTTGATAAAGTGAACACTTTTATTTTAGGGCCAAGTATTCTGTCAAATCTGCTTTTCATATCATAAGACTGTAAAATATTATATAAAATCAGTTTAAGAAAAAAAAATATGAATCTGAAATTTGTGTGTATTGTGTGCCTGGTCACATGGAACACCTTTATATGACAGAGGCCTCGGGCCGTATATAATTTGTCCATAGGCTGCAATTGGCCCCACTGGACTTACCTGGTTTAAGCAGACAGAAAATCAGCATAGAGGCACTCAGGGGGAAAACAGTAAGTCAAAGATAGTGATGTATACAAGTTGTCGTTTGAATACATTACTGTTCTACCTGGCTGGTTATAAGCCTTTTGTAACAATACAATAGTTATCCACTATTTCATTTATCAACTATTACAACCATCAACATTTTGGTCATCGTTCTGTGGTCAACTTATAGATATATAGAAAAATGTTTAAAAGTTTGAGTTGAAGGGGTCAGAGCTGATACATATGTGTTGCCCATGTGATCTCCTCTAAGCCAGCTTAACACTGCCATCATCCTGAAAGAGGATAAATGACTGTGCACTTCTACACTGTCAAATCGACTTTAGCCTTAGGGACATAAAACTAAAATCATGATACTGTTTGGATTTCAGAAAATATTTCTGTGTAAGTTGTTGCAGTTGTTGGAGAGAAGGTTAAGCAGGTAGTAATTAAGTGACCAAAGTGGTCATGATTCAAAACAATGTAAAGGATTTTTCACCGGAGAAAGACCATATTTAAAGCTCTGTGAAGTAAAACTTGGTTTTATTTCAAAAAAAAAAAAACCATGACAAATACTGTGATTGCAATGGTGAGAAGACCACACACTGTGTGGACTGGAAGGTATGAGGCTTAAGTGATCTTAGGGTGAAATTTCACCCTACCTGCTGTTTTATTGTTTTACAGCCAGGTTTTGCGAAAACAACACCACTGTCTTTTGCAGATCTTGTTGTTTGTATTTTTCCACTATTGAATTTATACCTAGGCTAAGTGGAGTTCAACAACAAATTTCTTATCCTGGAGTTCATTGTCACCCTCACCTGTTTTTTCATGAATCCCTCACCTTGCAATCTTCATTTGTTTTTCTCTTTTTACACAGTTGAAGAGAAACCAAATGGGTGTCCAGGTCTTGGTTTGTTCTATGCCTTCCTGTCTACAGTTTTATTCTCTGTCATTGCCCTCTTGGTCAAAACCATCCAGGAACTGCATGCCATAGAAATAAGTGGTTTACGCTGCTTCTTCCAGATGCTCTTTGTCATGCCTTTACTCATCTATCACAAGTAAGCTCAACCGACTAACTCAAACATTCAAATTCCCACTAGTTTAGGGGTATTACATGTTCAACTAAGCTGTTCAGTGAATAATTGGTCTGCTTATCATGTATGGAGTATTTTTGAATCACAATGTTTTTGAATAATTTTATAAAAAATTAATTGAATTTGTGTTTAAATTAGTACTTAAAGCTTCTACATGTTCTCATACATGATTGGAAACGAGTAATGGGGTAGCCACATCACATAGCTGTACCGCTCAATGTTGTTACCTAAAACACATTTTACTTTTAACAAACTCTTACTAGGAAAATTATAAAGCAATTCAAAATTTTATTGACTTTGAATTAAGACTTTAAAATTTTGGGCGTTATGGTATCAATACCTTACCTTTGGGGAATATTTAACTTCACTGTCAACTTTTTTCACTTGCAATACTAAATCAGGTATTATTAATATAGCTGCTATTTTTTATGACAAAGCAACATACACACAACAAATAATGTGTGGGAAGTGTTGTGGAAATGTCTTTATATTTAGTACCTGGACAACATTTGGTACAGTAAATTAGATGGTGAGTAGGGAAAACAAAACTAATCCCCAAATGTTCACAGCCCTAAAGAAGCTTCCCAGAATCAGGACATCTTGACCACTTTAGCAGACACAGTTTAGGACAAACACTACTACAACAAGTAAACCAATCTACATGCATATAAAATTTCCACCACAGAAGTGATTGCCAATACTTTATACCAGCGATTTAAAACTATGTTTGGGTAGGATCTAGTGAATTATCCTGAAATTCTTTTAAAAGTGCAGGGTGTGTGAGGAATAAGAAAAGTTTTCCCACAGCCTGGACCACCCAGTGTTTTTCTGTTGTACATTTCTCCTCTGGATAACAGGAGTGCAGTATCTGTAAGAAAACATCCCCTCGTATTTTTTTACAGACTGATAAATATTGACGTGATGTGTCAACAGTATCTGTAAGAAAACATCCCCTGACTGATAAATATTGACGTGATGTGTCAATAAGTCAATATTTCTAAAGCAATTCTGCTAAAGCTGCTACCAGTATTTCTATGTATTCACCTAATTATTCACCATTCCATTCATTTTTCCTGTACATTGTTTAATCACTTCCCACAAAATTCTCTCATCCCCCTCTGCTGCGCCTCCATTAGCCCCATACATATAAGTCTATTAGTCACTGTCATTTAAACACAAACTAAATCTAAATGTATCTATTCATCTGTCAAGCACCAAAAATCACATCATCACTCAACTTTTGCTAACTAACCTCATTACAACAGTCATGACATCTATCCAGCCTCCAACTCATCCATCCATCCATCCATCCATTCACTCATCCATCCATCCATCCATTCACTCATCAATCCATCCATCCATCCTCATATCTCTACTCCTTCAGAACAGGGTTTCTTGGTCCCAGAGATAAACGTATTTTTCTGGTGCTCCGTGGATTCACTGGATCTAATGCCATGATTCTGCTCTACTACGCTGTTAAGCAGATGCCTCTGGCAGACGCCACTGTCATCATGTTCAGGTGAGTGTTAGTGAAAACTGAACTAATTGTCTTTTTGGTCATTGGGGTTGTGGATAGATAAGATAGTTGTACTTTATTGATCCCAGGCTGGAAAATTACAGTTATTAAAGTTATTAAAGTCAGAACAGTTAAATAGTATTCCACTAGGTGGCAGCACATGGCTATAAAAGCTTAAAAAAGATTTGGTGTTTGGTGGTTGTGCCATGGGATTTTTCTAATGTAAAATATGCCAAATTCTATCAGTGAAAACTCCAAATCGGCTATTAATATCATTAAATAACATGCCATACGTAGACAGCCATATGTCTAAACAATGTAAATTGTTGCATCCTCTCCAGTGATATTCACAACTTTCCCAGTGATCTTGTTGATAAACTGCATCAGTAGAACTATAAGCCTCACAACTAATCTCATTTATTTCATCTCTCTTTAGTAATCCAGTTTTTACTTCGCTCCTGGCTTGGATTTTCTTGAAGGAGAAATGCACAATCTGGGACTGTGTCTTCACTGTTTTTACTCTGACTGGAGTCATCCTTATCGCCCGACCACCGTTCATCTTTGGCGAAAATCTTTATGGTATTGAAGACAACTACACTGATCACATCAAGGGGGCCATTGCTGCGTTTGTAGGTAACTCGTAGAGTGTTTGGTATCCTGTTGAACATATTTCTTACTTTTGTTACCAGATCTTGAAACCACTGTATATAGCCTCTTTCTTGTTTGTTTCCATTGTCTGTATAGGAGCGATAGCTGTGGCTTTTACGTTTGTTGTTCTTCGCAAAATGGGGAAAAGCGTTCATTACTACCTCTCCGTTTGGTACTACGCCGTGATTGGCCTTATCGAGTGTGTCATCACTGTATCCATCCTCGGAGAGTGGAGAATCCCGCACTGCGGTCGTGATCGGTGGATTATGCTGCTGATCGCTATCCTGGGCATCGCCGGTCAGACCTTCCTGACGAAGGCCCTGCAGATAGAAAAGGCTGGACCTGTGTCGTTGATGAGGACTGTGGATGTGGTACTGGCTTTCATTCTACAGTTCATATTCTTTAACCGTGCACCCACATGGTGGAGCCTTGGGGGGGCACTGTGTATCGTCTTAAGCACAAGTGGTGTAGCAGTTCGGAAGTGGTACACCAGTACACAAAGGAGCAGAACTCCGGTGACAACAGAGCAAAATTAGATACAGATACAGTTTCATTTTTCATTACCATACATAAGTTCCTGACCTGTTTAGTGCTTATGTGTTATTCACACAGAGAGTTGTGAAAAGGAGAAGGAAAAGACTTCCAAGAGAGAGAAGAAGTTTTGCTTAAACTGTGTGACAGACTCTGCTGGAAGCCAGCTAAAGTCAGGGCAGGACATTTTAATGAACGTGTGAGAAATTATGGGATCAGTATAGTTCAGTGTAATCTAATCTATTTTTATTTAGTAAAAAAAAAATTAAATTGCTTTGTGAGCAGAGAGAGAGTACTGAGATAGTGTTTTTAAAATCACTTTTGTATTTTAGTCCAGATTTATAATTTTTGCATTTGGTATTTAAGTTTAACATTTTTATTTTCACTAAATAATATGAATCAACTATAGGGTAGTTGATGAAGCAGGTAAGGCAGGAGATGTTCCTGCCAGAGCATCAGTTATACATATATTTTTATAATAAGATATAATTAATACAAAACAAAACATCAATTTACAGACCTCATCTAAGGCAAATAATGATAGTAGAACTAACATTCTTTATTTGTTGGCATAAACATGGGAGACACATAAATGGTTAGCATTAATGTGAAAAGGTTGCCTTTTGTCACTCTTAGTGGTGTTTAAAAAAGTCTGTATTTTGACACATCAAACGGTCCCGTTGTCTTAGGCTGGTGTTGTCAGAACGTCACTCAGCCAGACTTTAACCTGAACTATTACTTAGAAGGAAAAGCAAGCAAGACAAGAAATCCAGTAATTCAGCGAGGAAGTTGTAAAAGCTTCCAGTTTCCTTCAAATCTTTCCATTCAAACTGTATGTGTTGACTCCTGTCTGAGAGTCAACCTGTAATCTAACGTAATTCATCTATGTTCATGTTAAAATGGAGAAGTTTGTGAGTGGAAATAACAGCCTCCGATTGCATTCTGCTCCTGGCTCCTGTGAAGCTGAACTACCAGCAAAACTCTTCATCCCCATTTCCATTTTAATGAAACTGTTGGCAGCAGATATATATACTGTAGGGGAAAAATTGAATTTCCTTTATAATGCAGAACTTCCTTGGTCCCAGTTCCTTTCTTGCTTTAATCTTAATAAAACAGCCAAAGATGGTGTTGTTTGTGCACTGGGACAGATCGTACTGTGCTGCACATATCAACAACACCCATTAGGTAGCAGGAAATTGGATTAGCATTGACTTTTGAAGGTTAGTTAAAGGTGTGTTGTACTGTGCTGCACATACAACCCATTAGGTAGCAGGAAAGTGGATTAGCATTGACTTTTGAAGGTTAGCGTACTGTGCTGCACATATCAACAACACCCATTAGGTAGCAGGAAATTGGATTAGCATTGACTTTTGAAGGTTAGTTAAAGGTGTGTTCAAAGTGAATGCACACAGAGTCAGGTGGATACTGACCGCTGCATCAGCGATGCCAAATTATGTCCATATTTAAACTACATGATACAATTAACGTTTTTCAAATAACATTATACACACCCCATTGGAGTTCACATGGTGTGCAACACCTTAGCAAATATATAAGGGTACTACTTGTTACAGGACCAATAATGAAAAGAATACTGCGGGTAATACTCCATATTTAAAGGTTTAATTTTTTTTTATCCATAACTACGCTTAACACTATACCATTATGTTTCATACTGACTTACCCTATATACAGTACTACTTGCTGAAGAGACAAAGTTTGAGGAGATGCAGGTGATGAATTTTAAAACCAAATATTCATCAACATCTCCAGTTACTTTGAGGAGTAGCCTCACCTTTAAATCCTACGGAGTCAAGTTCTTATTTACAGTCAGTTTTTTGTCATGTAAACATTGATGATTAAAGTGCCTTACACTTTAACAATAAAACCTCCTGCTTCTCTGAGAGGAGCAACCTGTACGACATTAGTTAGAAATTACAGCTTCTAGTTTTGAGTTTTTTTCTAAGAACATTTGTTCACTGAACGTTATTTGTTGATACAAGATAAGCTAAAGACAGATTCACTGGGCTTCATCAGGGGAATGCACGGTGTGTTATATAAAAATGCCCCTTTCTTCCTCAGGCCTCACATGAGTAGTTTGTTGTGGTTTGAAATATCCATTATCTGTACACTGACATTATGCAATTGTACCGAGACCACCAGCACCTCATATCATCAACAGAACATAAATAAGATCTTCTATTTTGATCTCAACCATCAAGTTTTAAATAAAAGATAACAGTATATTTTTATTATATTTTACATAAACGTAATGTCATTACAACATCAGCTACGTCTGACTTAACACTTGGGAGCTGTAATGAAAAGTGAAAAAACAACACAAAGGAAAGAAAGCGAACGTAGCACAGTCAAATGTGGCGTATCACTGGCGAATGTAAACAAAGGCGTCTTCCATGTGGAACAAGACTGTCTTAATGAATTAATGGGAGATGGGACTTTTAATGAACATTGCTTTAGCTGCACTTCAATGTCCTGGCCACCGTAGTTCTGTCAGGATACATTTAGTTCCTCTTTTCATTTTCTTTTGACACTAGAATACCTTCTCCTATTCAAGATTTGACTTGAATTTGCAGAAGCTTCAAGCACATTTTGTTGAACTTCTATCAAACGGCCGGTATGATATGTTTTGTTTCAGAACATACGATTAAAAGCCGTACAAGACTATAAAAAAAGTGCATTTCTTAAATCATTTTTAAACTGTATTTAAAGCATATTATATCTCAACATGTTCTTTAGGATGTATATATTTCTTTATAGTGATCTATAAATATAGTTGATTATTGTTAATAATAAATTCTTTTGGAATTGGGACATTTTTACTCTCTTTTTTTTTTTTTTATCTTGTGTTTCGAACGTGACTCAACACTGTATGAAGGCTGCGTCTGTTCTTACATCATTGTCCTGGAGGCACCGGCAACGCCCCAGCTCTACTAATGATCAATGGGTGCTCAATAGGTGACAATGGTACAAACGAGGCTGCCTTTTAGAAACCACTGAGTCAGGCCGCTGTTGACAGGTGGATGAGGATAATACCTGGTTCTCTGTGTGTGGCCATACACATGGTTTATTTGTATTCGGCTTTTGTTCCTCTGTACTGTATTTGTAAACAACAAACAGTTGTTCAGTTTTGTGTGGAGAAGGGGTCCCCAACCACTGGGCCACTGACCATTACCGGGTCATTGATTATTTCAGTTGCACAAAAAGGATAAAAAGTTTTGTTTGTTTGTCACTAATGTGTAATACTGCGTATACACCAGAGAAATATAAGAATATAGGAGCAATATAATAATAGCTGAAATAATCACTTAGAAAGACATGTAACAGAGCAAAATGATAATAGAATAATTCAAAACAATTCTTCAGCCACCGTCATTCGTGGACCTTCTGGAAATAGTTATCAACAGTTTTTACATTTCTTCTTTTCTTTCTTCTTTTTTTGTTTGTTTTTTTTACATTTCTATTCTGACTGACGGTCCATGTCAGGGCAGAGTTATTAATGTCTACTTGATCCATTACTGCCCAATTGTAAAAATTGTAAAAATAATTGTAAAAATAATTGCAATTATATATATACATTTTACCCAATACACGCTTAGTGCTCGTTTTCCCCCAATATTTTCCCCAATGTTGTTTATGTGAAACTGTGGTAACGCTTTTGTAACACCAGATGGCAGCATCCATTAAGACATGTAAGGCTCCACTTGAGACGCTTTTACTAGTACGGTACTTTTAAAATATTAAACACGATGATTTTTTTAATATGCTATCAGCTTTACCACACGTCAAACTAACACCGCCTCAGTAGACCTATGTCTTGAGCCTTTCAATTGGCTGTCATGGTTCACATTCAACAGTTAATTGAACATTAAATAGCTAACAGCAAGGCAAATTTATCACAGTTTGACATTTCATGTTTTCAGTATTTTTTGGACTGAGTTTTTTTTTTATCACTGTTTCTTTGTTGAATGAGAATCAACAGTTTTGTCCGTATTGCAGTTTTCTATGTAAAGTTCAATTGAGTTTTTTAAGCAACTGTGATGAATATGCAGGGACACTCGACCTAGTTTAAATTGTTCACTCTTTTTCACCACAACCCTTAGGTTTGGCTTTGCTTTAACCCTTTTTATTTTATAAATGAGCAATCTATGTTTATATATATACATATATACATATATATATATATATATATATATATCAATTTCAAGTTTTCCTTGAAATTGTGTTAAAATGTTATCCTAGATTAAACAGGCTTAAACACTGCTAAATGTAGGATCCAAATTCATCTTACAATGCAAAATCCACCACTTGTGTCGCATTGCTATTAACTAATATTACTATTATACTATTACAAATATAACTATTTTGTTATTAGCTGTTAATGCCTCAAATCTGCATAATGCTTAGCATTTCTCTTCACTGTCATTGTGAACTTTTGGTTCCAGTTCAATGTCAATCCATGTACCTTAAACCCTCAGCCTGCTACCCTAGCTCCCCTTTCCCGACCCCGCTTTTTAGGGACGTTTTTAAATAATGTGACATCTGAGACTCATTACATGAAAGAGATGTAACAAAGCCTTGAGTCATGCTGGTGTACATTTGTATGGATAATCCCAGAGAGGCCCCTGCCCTTTCTTTTATCAGCAAACTGGGGATTCCCAAAGGTTTGCTAGCTCCTGGGTGGAGGATAAAGAGTTGGAAGGATTGGAAGAGTTGCACATTCCTGTTGGATGGCATAAGACTTCCCATCAGTGGGGCGAGAGTGAATGGGGAAAAATAATCCCTCATTTTCCTAGTTGAACCGACTGCTGCTGTAAGAGGTGAGGTGGAAAAGAAAAAAACGGCAATTCTCTGCAGCACGTGCTCTAATCCCTCTAGGGGGCGGGTCAGGAGTGTGGTCAAAGGCTAAAAGCCGAACAATTGCAACATACATACATCGTTCCGATATGAAACTGTTTAATGGGTCTTAGGTGAGGCACATGTGGCAGGCTATGACTTCATTGTGTGTAGTCATTAGCACATATTACTCGGCCCCTGATTTAAACCCAACAATTAGGTGTAGTGCGTCCATAAAACTCTGAAGACTGTTGTATAAATCAAAAACAAATCAATATAAATTTGAAAAGGTAATATATAGGGGTGGCTCACTTAGCTGACGGCTGGTTAGGGTGCCAGACATTCCAATGTAGTGACACACACACACACACACCACCACAAAGCAGGCCAGAGACATTGTCCTCCTGTTCAGTTTAGTTGGCTACTGGTGCTGCATTTAGGTGCAGTTGGATATAAGTTAGTTTGATTCTAAAATAAAAAAAAGCCGAGGGTCCGCAGTTCAGTTAATAACAATCATTAAAATAATCAAGTGAGCAGTTCATCAACTGTATTTACAAGATAACTTGTAAGCCAGATGGTTAGTCTTCAGGCAAAGACATGTCATCATTTTGAAAATTGCATTGTAGCAAGCAACAACATGGCCTTTTTAATGTGATATCCAATGGTGAGATCATTGTGGTTTAAAATTACACAATTTATAGGGTTTTGACAGTGAAAACAAAAAACAATTTGAGTAAATACAGAACTCAGAGTTATTTTAATTATTTTCATACCAACTCATTAATAGTAAACACGCTTTTGAGGCTAGAAGACTTTATATGTATTGCAGCTGATTTGTAGTGACTGAAATATACCTTTCAACTTCAACTTACTCTAAATTTAAAAACAAAAAAAATGTAAAACTATTAGTAAATCACAATGTCATTTGAGAACCGTTTAAAAATGATTAATGCGACAGTTTTTTGCTTGCAAAAACACGAAAAAGTAAATCTGAGACGTGGATGAATGACGTGGTTTCCACGTGAACACAAGTGCACTTAAACTATTTTTTTTTCCTGTAGATAATCAGGCACAGCGATCCTCTAGTCGTTAATATATTCAATAGTATTGCAAAACTGATCAAATGTTCCAAAGTTTCCATTATTACGAGCAGCACTTGAACGCACCAGGGCAGACTGAGCGGTTTAACCACAACACCGACTGCACGAGTGTGTGTCAGTGTGTGAGCCAGGAGAGGAAAAGTTTGCAGGACAAGTGTGTTGCTCGACAACGTTAGCAAACTTGTTGTATGCTGACGGAGCTGCGACGTTTATGAAGGTTAATTTCGCGCCATAACATTACCAACGCTTGCTCAACGTTGCTGTCCGTCCAGGGACCTTTTCTGCACCTGGAACTGATGTACGACTGATTGGACCTGGACCTTCAGTTGAGTGTCGGAAACCTCGCAGTTGAAGTCACCGGTAATATAAACAGGTAAGTTTAACAGGTAGACGGTGTCCATGTTAGCATGTTTGTTTTTTGTTTTGTTTTCATTCATTGTTACTACACAGCCGAGGTGGAAACTGGTTGAGTTGCAGAATTCCTGCCTGTGTGTGTTTATGTGTCTGTGTGACGCTTGGCTGCAGAACCATACCTTTATGTATCGATAGCAATATACGATATTATATGTGTATATTATATGATAATATAACTAAAATAACCGTGAATGGTCAACAATAAGTATTGACGTACATGATAAACTCTGGAAAGGTGAAAAATGTCAATATTTAATTAAGAAATTGACAGAAAAATCGATTTACTAACTATTTATTTGAATTAAAAAGGCTATATTACAGTATACCCTGCCGTTTGCTGTTCTGTGAGATTTAGATATTATTTTATAATATATATATACAGTATGTACATATGTATGAATATATATATATATATGTATATATTTGATGATGGTATTTAGTAGGGATGTTGAACTAGAAATATAGGAAGAACAATGCATGTTTGTACAGTAAGGCACATTTTTTGATAAACAATGGCTGTCTTCATTGTATTGTGTATTTAAGGAAATATTTCATATGCCTGAATGCGACTCAGGTGGTAAGTAGGAAGTCATATTCACAGCTAATATCTTTAATTAGAATAGCACACAAAGTTAGTTATGTTAAACCCAGGTCAGGTTTTGAAAGAAAAGGTTTGTCAGATATGTGTTGGTTTTGGTTGGTACATAATCACGTGGTCATGAACCCAAACAATCTGCACTCAAATGAGGCAACTTTTAAGTTTAAAAGGAAAAGTTTTAAAGTATGATGTGGAGGTGCTGCTAAAACCTTTGAAAATGTGACGTTTTTGTGGGTTGTTGGCGGGTAGTGTGTTTTACAGCGTTCAATTTGCTCAACTTGGCCTCAGATCAGTTAATATTTGTAATAAATTCCTAAATAAATTCTTGTGGCAAACAAGGTGGAGTTTACAAATGACATGGGTTTGATTAAACGTCTACATCCTGCATGCATTACAGATAGATAATAGGGTAGAACTTTACTATGTTTTCATTGTTGATTTTGTGTTGATCCTACATACTGTATGTGATGGTGAACCTTGTTAGCTTGTTCCAAACACGTAGAAAGCAGTTAGCGCAATAGTTTGGTGGTGTCATCAGATAGAAATTTGAAGAGTGCAGTGATAGGTTGGGCTGTTTTGTTTTTTCCAAGAATCTTACTCTCTCTGTCAGGTGCCAGCCATATGTTCTGCTGAGGAGCGGCTTCAGTACTTTGTGATGTCATTGTTGACTCATCACACACAGCGCGACCTAACTCTCTACCGTAAAGTGTCTGCATTTTGAAAAGTGCCATGACCCACTACTGTAATTTGCCCGAGACGCGTAGTTATAAATGTAATGTGGCTTGTCAGATTACCACTCTAAAGCATTACACATTAATCATCTGCATCACCTCACATAGTCTTTTCCTGAGCAAACACAAGTTG